TTGAAACGAAACTGAATGAAATTTTAACTCTGAAAGTTTCACTTATTTTGGAGTCAAATTGCGCTCGTAGCAGAGCAAACCATCTGATATTGTACTAGGCACCGGTTATGAAAAAAAGTGAATTAGAGATGTCAGAGTGTAGCGACGTGACATACACCATTTGAAACGTAACTGAATGAAATTTTAACTCTGAAAGTTTCACTTATTTTGGAGTCAAATTGCGCTCGTAGCAGAGCAAACCATCTGATATTGTACTAGGCACCGGTTATGAAAAAAAGTGAATTAGAGATGTCGGAGTGTAGCGACGTGCCATATACCATTTGAAACGTAACTGAATGAAATTTTAACACTGCAAGTTTCACCTATTTTGGAGTCAAATTGCGCTCGTAGCAGAGCAAACCATCTGATATTATACTAGGCACCGGTTATGAAAAAAAGTGAATTAGAGATGTCGGAGTGTAGTGACGTGACATATACCATTATAAACGTAACTGAATGAAATTTTAACACTGCAAGTTTCACCTATTTTGGAGTCAAATTGCGCTCGTAGCAGAGCAAACCATCTGATATTATACTAGGCACCGGTTATGAAAAAAAGTGAATTAGAGATGTCGGAGTGTGGCGACGTGACATACACCATTATAAACGTAACTGAATGAAATTTTAACACTGCAAGTTTCACCTATTTTGGAGTCAAATTGCGCTCATACCAGAGCAAACCATCTGATATTATACTAGGCACCGGTTATGAAAAAAAGTGAATTAGAAATGTCGGAGTGTAGTGACGTGACATATACCATTTGAAACGTAACTGAATGAAATTTTAACACTGCAAGTTTCACCTATTTTGGAGTCAAATTGCGCTCGTAGCAAAGCAAACCATCTGATATTATACTAGGCACCGGTTATGAAAAAAAGTGAATTAGAGATGTCGGAGTGTAGTGACGTGACATATACCATTATAAACGTAACTGAATGAAATTTTAACTCTGAAAGTGTCACCTATTTTGGAGTCAAATTGCGCTCGTAGCAGTGCAAACCATCTGATATTGTACTAGGCACCGGTTATGAAAAAAAGTGAATTAGAGATGTCAGAGTGTAGCGACGTGACATACACCATTTGAAACGAAACTGAATGAAATTTTAACTCTGAAAGTTTCACTTATTTTGGAGTCAAATTGCGCTCGTAGCAGAGCAAACCATCTGATATTGTACTAGGCACCGGTTATGAAAAAAAGTGAATTAGAGATGTCAGAGTGTAGCGACGTGACATACACCATTTGAAACGTAACTGAATGAAATTTTAACTCTGAAAGTTTCACTTATTTTGGAGTCAAATTGCGCTCGTAGCAGAGCAAACCATCTGATATTGTACTAGGCACCGGTTATGAAAAAAAGTGAATTAGAGATGTCGGAGTGTAGCGACGTGCCATATACCATTTGAAACGTAACTGAATGAAATTTTAACACTGCAAGTTTCACCTATTTTGGAGTCAAATTGCGCTCGTAGCAGAGCAAACCATCTGATATTATACTAGGCACCGGTTATGAAAAAAAAGTGAATTAGAGATGTCGGAGTGTAGTGACGTGACATATACCATTATAAACGTAACTGAATGAAATTTTAACACTGCAAGTTTCACCGATTTTGGAGTCAAATTGCGCTCATACCAGAGCAAACCATCTGATATTATACTAGGCACCGGTTATGAAAAAAAGTGAATTAGAGATGTCGGAGTGTAGTGACGTGACATATACCATTTGAAACGTAGCTGTATGAGATTTTAACACTGCAAGTTTCACCTATTTTGGAGTCAAATTGCGCTCGTAGCAGAGCAAACCATCTGATATTATACAGGGTGTTTCAAGAAATTTGGAAGAAACTAGTTGCGAATATTTTTGAGCTCTTGCTAGTTATCGCAGAAATTTTTTTTGTTTCTAAAACTTGACAGCGGGCGGTTTTGTACTGAACAAAAAAAAAATTTTTTCGTCGGCGGAGAGGCCAGTTCTCGGCGGAGGCATTTGGGGCCTTTTTTAAAAATCACACCTTATTACATCGTGGAAACTCTGTTACAGTGGCCAAAATCATGTTTACGTTAAACCTCCGTGGATTTTGCGGTATGCTTTTTTTTGTTTTCGATTTTCGCTCATCCGCGGAGGCACGGCGGAGACCTCAGGTTTCGGCGGACGTCGTTTTGAGCCTTTGGATCATTCAATTCAGGTTGGAAAAAAGTGTGGGGTGATTTTTTGTTGTCACCCGATACACAGATGCAAAAATTTTGCACTTTTTTTCTCCGGCGGAGGATTCGGCGGAGGCTTTATCGAAGGGTCAGAACAGTCTTAGGAGTCCGGGAAAAAAACTCAGCTACAAGAATCCATCACAGCAACATCATTTTTCTTATTTTTTGGTTCGGCGGACACATCGGCGGAGGATTCGGCGGAGGCTTTATCAAAAGAGTCAAAATTTTGTTTTGACCCTTTGAGAAAGCCTCCGCCGAATCCTCCGCCGGGGAAAAAAGTACAAAATTTTTGCCCTCTGTGCATCGGATGACAACAAAAAATCGCCCCAACCTTTTTTCCAACATGGATTTGCAAAAACCGAGGGCCCAAAACAAAGTCCGCCGAAATCTGCGGTCTCCGTCGCGCCTCCGCGGATGTTGCGTAAAATCGAAAACGCAAAAAAAGCATACCGTAAAATCTACAGAGATTTAACGTAAACATGATTTTGGCCACTGTAACAGAGTTTCCACGATGTAATAAGGTGTGATTTTTAAAAAAGGCCCCAAATGTCTCCGCCGAGAACTGGCCTCTCCGCCGACGAAAAAAATTTTTTTTTTGTTCAGTACAAAACCGCCCGCTGTCAAGTTTTAGAAACAAAAAGAATTTCTGCGATAACTAGCAAGAGCTCAAAAATATTCGCAACTAGTTTCTTCCAAATTTCTTGAAACACCCTGTACTAGGCACCGGTTATGAAAAAAAGTGAATTAGAGATGTCGGAGTGTAGTGACGTGACATATACCATTATAAACGTAACTGAATGAAATTTTAACTCTGAAAGTTTCACTTATTTTGGAGTCAAATTGCGCTCGTAGCAGAGCAAACCATCTGATATTATACTAGGCACCGGTTATGAAAAAAAGTGAATTAGAGATGTCGGAGTGTAGTGACGTGACATATACCATTATAAACGTAACTGAATGAAATTTTAACTCTGAAAGTGTCACCTATTTTGGAGTCAAATTGCGCTCGTAGCAGAGCAAACCATCTGATATTATACTAGGCACCGGTTATGAAAAAAAGTGAATTAGAGATGTCGGAGTGTAGTGACGTGACATATACCATTATAAACGTAACTGAATGAAATTTTAACACTGCAAGTTTCACCTATTTTGGAGTCAAATTGCGCTCGCAGCAGAGCAAACCATCTGATATTATACTAGGCACCGGTTATGAAAAAAAGTGAATTAGAGATGTCGGAGTGTAGTGACGTGACATATACCATTATAAACGTAACTGAATGAAATTTTAACTCTGAAAGTTTCACTTATTTTGGAGTCAAATTGCGCTCGTAGCAGAGCAAACCATCTGATATTATACTAGGCACCGGTTATGAAAAAAAGTGAATTAGAGATGTCAGAGTGTAGCGACGTGCCATATACCATTTGAAACGTAACTGAATGAAATTTTAACACTGCAAGTTTCACCTATTTTGGAGTCAAATTGCGCTCGTAGCAGAGCAAACCATCTGATATTATACAGGGTGTTTCAAGAAATTTGGAACAAATGATTTGCTTATATCTTTGTGTCCTTTGCAGCTATCAACGAATATCTTTCTGCTTCTAAAAATTGACAGCGTGCGTTTTCAGAATCTCAAAAAAAATTTTTTTTCGTCGGCGGAATGCCCATTTCTCGGCGGAGAAAATTAGGGCCTTTTTTAAAAATCACAGCGTATTACGTGGCGGAAACGCCGTTGCAACGCCTGAAATCAAGTTTACGTTACACCTCCGTCGATTTTACGGTATGCATTTTTTTGTTTTCGATTTTACGCGCACCGCGGAGGCGCGGCGGAGACTTCAGATTTCGGCGGACGTTGTTTTGGGCCTTCGGCTGTTGCAATTCATGTTGGAAAAGAGGTTGGGGTGATTTTTTGTTGTCATCCGATGCACAGATGGCAAAAATTTCGTGCTTTTTTCCCCGGCGGAGGATTCGGCGGAGGCTGTATCAAAGGGTCAAAGCAGTCTTACGAGTCCGGGAAAAATCTCAGCTACAAGAATCCATCAGAGCAGCATTGTCTTTCAAAGATTTTTGATTTTTTTGGTCCGGCGGACAAATCGGCGGAGTTTTGTTTTTACCCTTTGATAAAGCCTCCGCCGACTCCTCCGCCGGGGATAAAAAGCACGAAATTTTTTTCATCTGTGCATCGGATGACAACAAAAAATCACCCCAACCTCTTTTCCAACATGAATTGCAATAGCCAAAGGCGCAAAACAACGTCCGCCGAAATCTGAGGTCTCCGCCGCGCATCCGCGAAAGTGCGTAAAATCGAAAACGCAAAAAAAGCATACCGTAAAATCGATGGAGGTATTACGTAAACTTGATTTCAGCCGTTGCAACGGCGTTTCCGCCACGTAATACGCTGTGATTTTTAAAAAAGGCCCTAATTTTCTCCGCCGAGAAATGGGCCCTCCGCCGACGAAAAAAAATTTTTTGAGATTCTAAAAACGCACGCTGTCAATTTTTAGAAGCAAAAAGAAATTCGTTGATAGCTGCAGAGAACACAAAGATATAAGCAAATCATTTGTTCCAAATTTCTTGAAACACCCTGTACTAGGCACCGGTTATGAGAAAAAGTGAATTAGAGATGTCGGTTTAGGTCGACGATACCTAAAATATAAATTTTGCCACCTAAATAAAGAGAATTTAAAAAATTATAATTAGTTCAGGAACAGAGTTTATTCAATGACATGTAAGATTGTATACTGTAGTAACTCAATCCAATTTCATTGTTTCTTCAGCTTAGAAAACGAGATCTGGTTTTGTCTGTAGTCCAAGAAGACGCAATAATTAATGAATATCATTCTTCCAACTACCCATTCAACATTGTCCGGATTTGGGTCTACAGCTTCAGCAATAAACGTGGTAGAGTTTCCGCCAAACAATGGGAGACCAATAGATTGCAGGTCGGAATCTATGACATACTCCGGGTTTATCCGAAAGAAGAACTTGAAATCATCGTTACGGCGTGTTTCGTTTAGTTGAAAAAAGTTGTATTGCTGTCGGTGTGCCATAATTAAATTGGAATTGATAAATGAGAGGAGTACGTGCCTCGGCATTCGAATCCCCCCTCCAGCGGAGAGAATTATCCGAAAGTCGTGGGCTGCGGATTGGTAATCAAGAAAAGCGGCGGCCATTGCGTCAAACATCCATTCACGCTCTCCAACCGCGTCAACGGTTGTGCGGTCTCCTTGGCAAAATTCCGATCTGTATGAGCCGAGGCTGTAGAGCGGCGCCAATTTAGCAACATATGCAATTGATAAGCCGGGATAGGAGATATGACCGTGACGATACAGCAGCTCAACAATATTCGGCACGGCTGGATCACGGCCAAATCCAATTTCTCCTCTGGAAATGTGCTATGTAGTTTTTACAGATAAAAATCTACTTGGTTCTTGCTGATCCAGTGGGAAAAAACTTATCATTTTGCATCCGGGAAGTATCAAAAAAGTGGCAAAATGCCTCCCTCTCCAACTAATGTAAAAAGAACTCCGTTTTGAACTGCGCGCCCTTTCTCTCACAAAAAGAATGGGCACGCGTTTGAAATCGGAGTTTTTTCACTTGGAGAGGGAGATATTTTGCTGCATTTTTGATACTTCCCGGATGCAAAATAGTATGTTTTTGGCCAATGGATCAGGTCAGTCACTGTATCAGTTCGTCGGGAAAATAGTGAGACCTCTGTCGCTGCGCCAATTATGTCGCTGAGGTGAAAAGAAATTTAAGTTTGCAGCGACACAATTGATTTTCTCGGGGGCGATAGAATTTTCGGTGCGACAACGAGCTCACTATTTTCCCGACAGACTGATAAATAATTATTCGCACATCGTGAAACTCTCAAATGTTCTCTCCAAGACGGAGATACGTCAATAAACAACTTACTGGCGTCTTAAACTACGGTCGACGTACAGTGCGTCGTAGATTTTAAGGGCAAACGCGATTGTCCCGAGCTGAAATGCTTTGTAGTCAGCGTTGTTCAAAACAGCGACCACGTCTTCCACCCAGATCCCCACTGACTTATCGGTAGCGGAACGCCATGCTTTTCCGTTGACTTTAACCCTTTCCGGACGAGTCGGCACCTCCATGCAGAAATGAAAGAGGGTACCCTACTGAGTAACGGCATAATAGTGGTTCAGCCCATCGAAGCGTTATTTGGGACTTATGACAAAAAATGTCCTAAAAAGTACCCCCAGTTGACATAACCCTTATAAACTTTGCTAACGACCTGTAAATTAGAAACTACCCCTAAGTTAAAGTCTAACACTCCTACTACTGTTACATCCAAGAACTGTCCAAATCGGACCACTACAGGATTAGTTATCGACTTTTGGAAATTGAATTTTAAATTTCGACCAATTTTTGGCCCAAAATTGAGTATATCTTCCGCCGGAATCAACCATTTCATTCTAAATGTGGTTTTTCTGAATCTAGAGTGACGCTAGCTTCTTCCCAGAATGTTTCCAGAAAAAACCTACAGGGCACGTTTCTGTAAAAAGCGAAAAGGTTGAAAGCGTAAAGGTTTCACCGTATAAAATGTCGCCGCAAGCCGAGAACGGTCGGGCGCAGCTCGAAAGGCGAAAATAATATATATTTCTTTGAGAAATATTATTTTAGTGTCGACAAGCTGAATTCAGATGAAATACAGACAGAAACAGCACGCAAACATTAACTCAATGTCATTTTAGTATTTTTAATGCGTTTTCAGGCAATTTCATTGGATTTTGCTTTAGTTTCACACTAAAATAGTATTTCTCAAAGAAATATATATTATTTTCGCCTTTTGAGCTGCGCCCGACCCTTCTCGGCTTGCGGCGACATTTTATACGGTGAAACCTTTGCGTTTTCAACTTTTTCGCTTTTTACAGAAACGTGCTCTATAGGTTTTTTCTGGAAACATTCTGGGAAGAAGCTAGCGTCAATGTAGATTCAGAAAAACCACACTTGGACCGAAATGGTTGATTCCGGCGGAAGATATACTCAATTTTGGGCCAAAAATTGGTCGAAATTTAAAATTCAATTTCCAAAAGTCGATAACTCATCTCATAGTGGTCCGATTTGGACAGTTCTTGGATGCAACAGTAGTAGGAGTGTTAGACTTTAACTTAGGGGTAGTTTCTAATTCACAGGTCGTTAGCAAAATTTTATAAGGGTTATGTCAACTGGGGGTACTTTTTAGGACGTTTTTTGTCATAAGTCCCAAATAACGCTTCGATGGGCTGAACCACTATTATGCCGTTACTCAGTAGGGTACCCTCTTTCATTTCTGCATGGAGGTGCCGACTCGTCCGGAAAGGGTTAAATTTTTGTGAATCATGTGCATAGCCGTTTTTAATGCTCCCTGGACAGGCGGAATCTCGTGTCGTTCTCTCGATGCAACAAATTGGATTGCAGTAAATTTTACAGAAATCATCTTAAAAACAATATAATTTTATTTGTTGAATGCTTACGGTTTTTACAGTATTCTTTACATGGAGCATAGCTTTCCGTACAATTGGCATCAAGAACAGAAATTTCGGGTGTGTTCAGTGAGACTTGCAGCCTTTGTAAACTTGATGTCGTCCCGAAGAATAGTCCCAAGCCTGGGTCGTATATCAGTCTGTCGGGAAAATAGTGAGCGCAATGTCGCAGGGCAATACAGGGACTTTCCCGCCCCTTTTGGCACTTCGTCTACCCAGTATTGGTCGAAACCAAACGCAATTTGAAAAGATGAGCTTTTCGTCGGGTTTTCCGATATAAAAACTTTTGTCGGTGAAGTTAAAAGCAATTTGATTTTCCCCCGACAAAATTCATTTTTCCGGCTTCGATACGACATTTTCCCGACAGGCTGATACACTGTCATGCCATACTTACAAAACTGCTCATAACCCACGTCCAGGACGTCTAGTTCGATGCTACGGTTCTCCGCAAAAACAACGCGTAGCAACCATAGGAAAAATAAGACAATCATTGCTCAAAATTATTATATTTCAAATATATATTATCAGTGCTAACCAGGCAGACCAACCAACAGCTTAACGAGACGCTCCCTTTCGCTGAAAGCCGGAAACAACGTCTCCATTGCGAACGTTCCCGATATGGCTAAGCTTTTGCTACATTATTGGTGACTACAATGATGACAAATTAAATTTCTTTTTCGACTAAATGAGTAACTTTGATGTTGAATTTATTAACCTCAGAGTCTTGAGGCGCATGGAAGACGATGGCCTTCCTTACGGCTGCTTCGAAAAATCCGAGAAAATTATTCAAAAAAATCGAGAAAATCGAAATTTATTGATTGAGGATGGGCGCTACGGTATGTTGCAGTAATAACTTGACTAACTTCAAGTCAACTACAAAGTTGTTCAGCGTTGTATTTCAGAACACAATTCTGCAATAATTTGACAGGCTAAGTCTATTTTAAAACTAGAAATGCCTTTCAAGGCATTTTTTATTTTTCTTACACAGTTTGGCTAAAGTCTATTGTAAGTATATTACATTTTAAAACTAGAAATGCTTGATGTCTTAAAAGACCTCAAAAGAAGAGAAAATCGCTTTAAGAGAAGCGTTTATTCAACTCTCCGTCATAATCCAAAGCCTAAAAACAGCCCATTCTCCTTTTTCGACATGCACGCTGATTACTCGCCTGTCTTAATTCTGCTTCTTTTGGACTATGCAATAAGCGCTTTTATAAAACTTGGTGTCACCGACTTGGGATTTGCTCAGTATTGTAAGTGCTGTAGAAGAGCACCATTAAACCCAGTGTTTTAAGGTACGATGCTCCGTTTTGGCACGGATCGCAAACGGCAACAACTGGATGTCTCTTTAAACACTCCTGAGATTAGCGTGCTTGACGCTGACTGCAACAATACCTATGGGAAGTGCCAGAAATTCTGTCAAAATGGTATGTTTTTGTTCCCTAGAGGAGTGGAAACTTGCGAAAGCACTAAGCTGCAACACTGAGAACATTTTTCAAATGAAAAAAGCGGTGTGATGATAAGGTATCATATCAAACAGTCATTGATATTACGCCCGTCACCAATGATTAGACTTTGTAACAAAATTTGGTCGGCGCCCCTACAGTGACCGACCTGATCCAGCGGCACAAAATGTGCGATTTTGCCTCCGGGAAGTATCAAAAAATGTGGCAAAATGCCTCCCTCTCCAAATATGAAAAAATTCTTTTGAAGTGCGCCCCGCTTCCCACACAAAAAGAACTGGTGCGCTTTTGAAATATGAATTTTTTCACTTGGAAAGGGAGGTATTTTGCTACATTTTTTGATACTTCCCGCATGCAAAATGGTACGTTTTTGCCACTAGATCATGTCCGTACTGTATTTAAATTACCTCCGCTTCTTTCAGATGAGTTCTGCCATTTATTCTGCAGTCCGATGTGTTGCATAAATCCCGAAACCCGAAGCAAACAATGTGCTGGGAATAGAGCAAGCGACTATATGCATAATTCGACAAGCTTTAAAGTCCTCAACGAATATTGGACTTCTGCCGAGGACCATGCTTCAGGGATATGGGTGGAAGACGAGGTTCATGTTGGTGATGTTGATCCTGAAGTCGAAACGAGTGCTGGGAAAATCACATTCGCGTTGAAGGTTGTGAATTCTCTTTATTTGGATCCGGATGCGATTAGACGGTAATCTGAATATTCCTTTTGTATTTTCGTTTTAGTGGCGACTTGGGATTTGGCCGGCATCCGACCAAAAGAAGTATTGTTCAAGTTATCTATGATAAGGGCATAATTGACCGGCCTGTGCTTACGATCGCATATCATCTTCGTTATTCTCCATACTACATTCTTGGAGAACACTCGGAGAGTTACTGCGGGGCCGAAAAACACAAAGTTCAGGCGTTGGGTAACCGGGAATGGATGTTTGACGCAATCTCAGCGACTTTTCTCAATTTTAAGTCACACCGTCGAAAATTTCGAATGATTCTGTCTTCAGACGGCGTAATTGGTATGCCACGACATGTTTTACTGACTTTACTGGAAACCAACGTGATCACTACGTATCTAAGACAACGAAATTTCTACTCTCTAAATAGGAAATCGGATGATTACAGTTTCTCATTTACTTCTTCCTCTAATTTTACGTTGTATTCGAATTTGCGTTCAGTCAATGTCTCTTACTTTTTGCTTCCGCCAAGTAACAAAACCGTATTTCCTGCGTCTGCCGTTGATCCAAATCCCGACGGTGTCGAGTGGATTGTTGGAAGAATGATCTACTTAAATTACTGCGCCTTTTTTGACTATGATGAGAACTCAATATCGTTTTCGAAGCTGACCCCGGATTGGTGACTGATTTATACTGTTGTTTACTATGGGCAATGAATAACATATCACATAAAAAAATTTAGCCATTCATACATATTTTTTGACAGTGTTACAAATCAGCCGCAAAACACCTTGACATTAAAATTTTAGTCCGTTGTACAAAGGTTGAACTGTATGTCTTATTCCTTTATTTTCTAACTGTAGCTAGGGCATTCGATATTCTTATTTTTAATAAAAAATATAAAATAAATTATCAGTCTGTGGGGAAAATATTGATCACAATTTCATTAAACCTATAGCGTCGCTGAAGTGAAAAGCAATTTGGTTTTTTCGCGGCACAATTCATTTTTTAGGCGACGATGCGATTTTCAATGCGACAGGGTGCTCATTATTTTTCCGACAAACTGGTAAGGCACAATGTATTACTTATAGATTATATTGCATAATATAGCAAGTAATCGTTAGTAAATCGATAAACCATACTGAAAGCAGAAAGTTTCTGGCAGAGCAAAAACATCTTATACCTCGTCATGTTTATCTTTTCCGTCGTTATCAGGTTCTCCGTCGTTATCGTGTTCTTCATCGTCGTCATGACCGTCATCATCATCTTCATTATTCTCATTGTATGAAGCAAACCATAGCTTGTCGTTTTTATAATCTAACGCCACACAGTAACTCATAAACAACGGTCGTCCAATAATCCATTCAACATTGTCCGGATTGGGATCAAGAGCCGCGGCCAGAATTACTGAGAAATCTTCCGGATGCGGCCATGCGATTGCCAGAGACTCCAGACTGTATTGTAAGGTAAAATTGTTCGTGGCATTAAAATAAAATTTGAAATTGTCGTCTCTCCTTGTGTGGTTGACAACGTAATGATTGTGAAGCTCGTTGTCCTCCTGATACAGAAGTTTTGACTCAATAAAAGACAGAAGTACACCTCGGGGCATCCGTGTTAGTCCACCAACTTCTAGGATTATTCGAAATGGGTGCGAATGAGATTCGTAATCAAAGAATGCCGCTGCCGTTGCGTCAAACATCCATTCATAGTCGCCAATGACATCTATGGACTTTCTGTCCGTGTTGCATGCTACTCCATTGTAGCGTCCAAATATGTAGCTTGCATAGTGTTCGGAGGTTTGTTCAACTGTCAACAACTCCTCTTCAATGATTCCTCTCTCAGCCATTGTTTGAATTATATTCCTTTTATGTGGATCTCTTCCAAGACCAAGTTGCCCTCTAAAACTCGATTTACACATATTTATTGCTTACATTATAGTCGCAGTAAGAGGATCATGATATACGGAGCCAATGACCTTCAACGCAAATTTGATTAGTCCAAGGCTTCTACGGTTATCATTCCAGTCCTCTACAAATATCTCATCTTGAGCCCAGATTCCAATTGCCAAATCATTAGGCGATCTCCAGAACCCTTTCAGGACGCTGAGTTTTGTTGAGTTTAGGGAGTATCCACCAGCAGCTTCTGCGCATTGCTTCTCAATGATTTCCGAAGACAAACAGCAGATGGGATTGCAGAACGAACGACAAAACACATCTAAATTTTTGGCTATTTATCAAATCCCAGATATATACCGTTTTTACAGAGCTTTTTGCAAGGTTCACTTGCTTTCTTGCATTTCTCGTCAATTATGACAAGGTCAGGTGAATTCAAGCAGATCTGAAGCACCTGCAGCTCTTCGTTCGTCCCCACAAAGACAGAATTAGCTGAAATCTTCCGTTGATTTGATCAAACCTTGCAATGTGATTTCAAGCTGCTTACCCGTGGTCATGACTCCATCATCCTCCACCAGAATCTCAATAGAGCCCTGGATCAAAGTTTTACTCAAAATTAAAAAGAGCGAGAGGAGGCATTGCTTCATAAGATCCGTTGCCCAACAGTTCTTAGAGTGTCTGTATGGGAGAGGTGTGAAAAGGAATGGTAAAACTAAGCCCTCGAAAGATAAGGAAAAAGGCGTCAGAATTAACAATGAATTTCATAAGTTTTTCCCACTTACGACGGATTACGCTTATCAATGGGGAGGTCGAAATATGGTAACGGTGAACTCGCGGTTGTCGCACCCCATAAATTCGCCGCAACCATCATTCGTCACGTACCGAGTAAACTCACGGCGTCGTCCAAATCATGAAGCTCTGTTTCTGGATTCTACTGACCTTGACTTCTCAGTATTTGGTTGACTCTGCTATAACATTGCTCGTAAAGGATTACGGCGTTGAAACACTGGGTAAGCCGAGCCTAGAGCAAAGTTGCAGCCAAAACCACTTCCTCTTGTAGCGACCCTCTCTTTTGGCTCCAACGCTGAAGAGCATTCTCTTGAAGTTTTGCTGAATTCGCCCGAAATCGCGTTGATTGACCAGCAGTGCACAAACACCTATGGAGTTTGCAAAGAGCATTGTAAAAACGGTATGTCCATCAAACACACATAGTGCACGAATTTAGATGTGTTTTGTAGGCTCTACTGCAGCCCAATGTGTTGTATACCCCCGGAAGTCCGCAAAAAGCGATGTGAGGAGGATGAGGTGCATCGTGAAGGCTTTTCTCACAACACAAGCACGCTCAAAATTCTTCGCGAATATTGGAAATCGCCATACGATTTGGCGGTTGGTGTCTGGGTGGAGGACCAAGTGCGTTTAAAGGAGTCGGACACGGATATTGGCAGGACAAAGTTCGCGTTGAAGGTGGTTAGTGCCCTTTATCGCGATGAATTGATCGCTAGCATATAGTGAGTTGCATTTTGCGAGGAAAAATTCATGGCTATTTCTACAAAACAAGGGCCTAAATTTTGAAGGGTATGTTCACAAGGTACTGTGTGATAGGGGGAATGTCCAATGTGCAACGCTCAGATTTTAATAAAGCCTAGGAGAGCCGGGCATACTCTCTTGTTGCCAGAGATTGTTGAATATCTCCGCTGCATCTGTGAATCTCGAGCCCAAGCTTTCTGAAGCCAATACTAGTCGCGGAAAAAAGTCCTGGGAATTTCTCGCGGCCGTCGCGCTCCGAAAAGTTGATTTGTCGCTGCGAAACACGGGAATCGCGCGCCACAATAAGCCAAAATCAACAAAATTGCACTGTGCAAAAGCACTTTTCGTGTTCATGCACAGTGCAGAGTCGCAGAAAATTCCCAGGACTTTTTTCCGCGACTAGTATGCAGTTACGGCATTTTTCAGCGGCGAGCTTGGGTTTGGAAGGCATCCAGAAAAGAGAAACCTCCTTCTTACGATGCTCGACAGAGGCATTATCAAACAGCCCGTTCTCAGCATGGTATATCGTCGCAATGCCGACGCGAAATACATTTTCGGCGAATTTAACGAAGAATTCTGCCATTCACAGCGACACGCTGTTGATGCTGTTGGGTCGCACGAATGGATGTTTGACGCAAATGCAGCCGAGTTTTTTGATTACAAATCTTCGGGACGTCCGTTTCGGATCATTCTGAGATCCACCGGCTTTGTTCATATGCCACGGAATGTTCTCGCTTCATTTTTGGAAGCACAACTTCTTCACGTCGACGAGAGGGACTACAATTATTACATACTCAACGACAGTGTTCCACACGACAATTTTGCTTTTTCTTTTAACGCGACAAACAATTTGCGCTTGACGTTCAGTTTGAAGTCAGTCGATGTTGTTGTTAGGCCTTTTTTTGCGGGAAGATACGTTTTTCAAATGGCATCACTGGATCCGAATCCGGACAATGTGGAATGGATTATCGGAAGGCCCTTGTTTTTGCATTATTGCACATTTCTTGATTACAAAAACAACAAAATATGGTTCTCGCAGCACAGATAGTCATGCTATGGCAGTATTTTACATTGATGACAAATTTATACCCTATTATAAAGTAAGGAAATGCGGTCTGAATAAAGCCGAATTTTGGAGTCTGATTTGATTACTAATTTAAGTTCGTCTCAAGCCTTGAGGCTTTGAATTTTGCCCCAATTTACAAGCCGTTGGCAATCATGGCTCTTCTGCACCTCGTTGTGTTCGCAATGCCGACAACATGGAGTGGACTTTGGGCCGGTGGAGTATTGTGTGGCCTTGGATTATGACAAACCCAAATCTTGTTTGTCCAAAGGCCCGACAACCGACAAAGAGAGCTCATGAGTCAAGTGATTTATTCAGTGGAAAGAAGGCCTTTTATAGGGAAACCCAACGCAGAAAGCACAATCAAATTCGAATAAATCAACACAGTTTCTCGTGGCAAAATCCTCGAAGCTCGGTCGTTCCCCGCATTGTTTATAGAAAATCTGTTTTCAATGAAGAGGCATACGTCAAACAAACTGAAAAAACAGGGAATCTCAGATCATTGATTTTTGACGAAATGTCGCTGAATTATCGAATGACAAAAGAAAACTTTCCCAGAGAAAGTTTTTTTCGAGAAAAATGTTTTTTCGAAGAGAAAAATAATTTTTCTAACTCGACAATTCTGTGGCACTTCGCAAAAAATCAATGATCCGAGATTCCTTGTTTTTTTCAATTTTCTGAAAGATTTTTTTTGACGTGAGGCATGATGGCAATAATTTGATGGAAACCAGGTTAAAAGGGCTCCGGGAGGTTTTATTGCAACACAAGCCCTGTATAACTTATGTATACTATTTGAGCGTGCATGTGCATAGCTAACGCTGCTATAAAATTGGCGGCGCAGAGTAATGTGTGATATCTTAAGACCGTGTGCGACCATGGAACTCGGGAACCTTCCAGAAATGATCATCGCACCCAAGGAACCGAAAAAACTGCGCCCTAAGCCGTCAAATTCTGATACAAGGGACAATGCCTTTCAAACAACAACTCTACAAAAATGAAGTTCAACGTGTTTTTACTCATTGCGCCACTGCTCTTGAATGGCGGAGTAATCGAACTGGAAGTTTTTGATATCGGCTATGTACAAGGTTGTAAGTCGCTCATCTTTCACATTATGCATTCGCAGGCAACAGTTTCATTTTTGGAACCCACAAGCAAAGACCGTTACTGGACTTGCAACTGTTTACGGCCGATTTCAGCCTCCGTGATTTTAATTGCGCCGACACTTACGGCAAATGTAAGACACTTTGCAAGCAAGGTAAGCGACGCTCAGGAAGAGAGATCTGACTGTGGCTACTTCAGAAACCTTCTGCGCTTTGTATTGCAGCCCCATGTGTTGCGTAGGCAAAGAAGTCGCTGATGAAGTATGTAAAGCTCGCAAGAACGACTATTATCAGCATTTGTCGACAAAATTCAAAGTGCTGAGTGCGTATTGGAGATCGCGGAGCAACCGTGATAGCGGAGTTTGGGTCGAAGACGAGATACAGTTATTGGACTTCTCACATAACACCGTAAACATTGGAATAACAAACTTTACACTACAGGTGGCCTCCGCTCCGTACTTGAACGCAGAGGACCGGTCACTGTAAGTCATTTGCTATTCCAAAATCGTAATTTTCAGCGGTGAAATTGGATTTGGCCGTGACCCCTAGGGACATAACTTTGTAAATGTTCTTTGCAAAAAGGGGATCATCGACCAACCAGTTCTTTCCATTGGTTACCCACACATCTTCGATCCACGTTACACATTAGGAGCGTACAACACCAATGACTGTTACGATGATTGGCAACCCATTCAGCTCGTCGGTGCCCATGGATGGATGTTCGACGCACAAGCTGTTGCTTTCCTGAATTACAAGTCTGACGTCCATGACTTTCGTGTCATGCTCAGTAGTGATGCAGTTGCACGTATGCCTCGATATATCTTCCACTCGTTTTTCCCGAGCCTACTAAGTCGCTACCAAAACGAATACAACGTTTACCAGCTGAATGATGCTCGGCGAAACGACGAATTCGATTTCTACTTGGACGTAAACGATGAGATACGGTTTCTTTCGGACCTTGACGCATTAGATGTTGCCCCAATGTTTGACCCAAAGGAGAACATATCCCTGCTTCAGATCCAAATCCTAGATCCCAATCCTGACAGAGTGGAGTGGATTCTAGGAAGGATGATCTTGATAGATACGTGCATAACGTTCGACTTCGAGAAAAACGAAATGTATTTCGCTCAAGCTCGACCAAACGACGATGATGACGACGACGACAGTGACGATGACGAAGGCAATGAGTTTCGAGTGAAAAATAAACGTCGCTACAGCCCACGACGTCGTAAAGCCAATAACGTTGGCCACAGGGATGGACGATAACAACCACCAAGACATAAGCAAATAAGGAAACATATCTGACTCTGTTTTATGATAATCAACAGCTTAAAAGTGCATATTTCTCCGCGTATCATGTTTTTTCTGGCATTGAGACACAACCAATAATCAATCAATTTGTGGGTTGTCATATTTTCAGAATTTTTCATTCGTTTTCCGCACGTTTGCGTCTTTACTGATAAGCCTAATCCGTCATAAGCGGTAAGCCATTGACACTACGGGATTTTTAGAGCACAAAGACCTTGCTCTTGTTTGCAATATCGACAAGAATGAGTAATCCTTGTGTATCGCCGAAATTCGACTTTAATGTTATACTATTTTCGACGGCGTTCGCACATCAAACCAATTAATTCCGATCCCGTAGCCAATGTGACGTCTGTGTGCCTTCCTGAATCATTTACCAAACCAATGCTTTCCGCAAGAAGCGAAAATGGAAGTACACGGAGAAAATGCAGCTAAGACGCGAGGAAGGAAGATGGGATCAACGACTGATGGAATGGACGCCGCCCTACAAACGACCACTTGGACGCCCCAGACTCAGATGGACCGACGATTTTCGAAAGCACCACGGCCTGAGATGGAGAGACCTTTTACTGACCAGACAATGGAATCCCGACTGATACACTCCATGATTTTACATGTGATTAGTGTGAATAAATTGAAATTGAAATGCTTTTCCGCTTGTACAGTAGGACCAGCGGTACCCCGATGGTCCGTCAATCCAAGCCCATTCTCGACTGATTCCCCGAGTTTCCCATGATTAACCGCTCTACGTGACAATCCGTTCCGACCGCTCGACTTCGCGCCGATCTGTGATTCTCATTCATTCAATTGGACTCTCCGGCTCGGTGGACGGTCGACCCTTTTCGTCCTCCTCCGACTACCCGAGACCATCGGTGTTACCGTGTGTTATTTCTGTGGTATTTTGGCTGGATAAATATATATAATATATCCCTGTCGGCCATCTATTCGTGTCTTCCCGGGTTTTATATCCCATTATATTCTCCTAGCGGCCCTCTACCTCGCGTAGACTGGGTCCTAATGTATAATACTTGGTAGAAAATTTAATAAAAAAAACAACTGAACGGTGGTACGGTAATGACTTGCAAAAAAGAACACTTCCTCACGGCTGGAAAGATCAATATTATGCTGTTTTCCCTGCGGAGTTATAAAATACATCATGTCGTCTTAGCAGCGTAAATCCTTCATAAATAAAGATTAGATATGGTATTGACACACCTTCGGACCGTTTCCTTAAAACGAGGGACTGCTCCAAAACCTTGATTAATGTTCCTGTTCAGCGACTGCAGAGAGTTTACATTCAATTCCGCTAAGCTATCATTATCCTAGTGAGCACTAGCGCGATTCAAAGTATTTCTACTGCTACCCATCAACTCTTGTTTTCTCTTGTGCTGGCGCTGGCTCCTGGACTACGTCTTAATGTATTTCTTCGCCCATTGCATAATTTTGCCGCTGCTCTTCCAATCATATACTAGCTTGGTAATACAATTCACTGCAGTTACCAGTGGAACACATCAGCGCGGTGGGTTTTTGAAGCACAATTTGTCAGTCTGTCGGGAAAAAGTAGTTTAGCCATAGTGCGCCAATACGTTGCTGAAGTTAATAGCAATTTGATTTTGTCGCGGCATATTTCACTTACTCGTCGGCGATGAGACAGAGCGCTCTTTATCTTCTAGAAAGACTGATGGTGCAATTTGTCATCGAAAAAATGAACCTGACTAATACTTTTTGTTACCAGTCTGTCCGGAAATTCGCCTGACCCATCTTTGACGTTTGAACCGTGCAGAAGAAGCTTTCCGGACGGGCTACGACAGCACAGTATTAGACTGTCAGGAAAATAATGAGCACAGGGCCTTATCAAAACTCGCAGAGAAAATTAATCAAGTCGTGGCATAATCAAATTTCTCACCTTTGCGACGCAATCGGCTCAGCAACGTTTGATTACTTTCCCCCAGACTGATATAGGCCCGTATTTCTTTAGTGTATGTAATGTTTGGCACGGAGAAGGAGCCGATGTCGTTGGCGGTAACACTAAGTTCCGCGGAAATTGTCTTGCAAGATGCCGATTGCAACAACACGTACGGAGTCTGTCAAAACTTTTGTAATCAAGGTATGAGCTCAGCGGGTCGAAGAACTCACTATTTTCAGTGGAGTTTTGTCGCGCTTATTGCAATCCAATATGTTGTACAGACGAAGACCAGCGAAATAAAATATGCTCCGTCATCAAAGGTCAAACGTACCAACACAACTCGACCAAATTCCGTGTGACCGGTCAATATTTCAGAGCCAGGTCCGAGACCGGGGCTGGGATCTGGGCTGAAGACGAGCTTTGGTTTAATGATGACATGCTTGGGGTGACAAGTGTCGGTACGGTGCCGATTGCACTTCAGGTGGTAGAGAAGGTGTGGGCCGGCGCGGAAGGCGCGTAAGCTTTTTCTGACTTTGCAGTAGGTGCCCCGTTCCACCGAAGATACCATGATACTAAAAAACTTTTCCTTAAATTTGAGCAATAGCAAAAGGGGATAGTCATTTTGAGCAAGACACTGAGTGGTTCATCTTCAAAATTGGCTCAAGTTCAAACCCTTGACCGCCCTCTGTAACCCCTGTGTTTTTAGTGTTTTTCTCGGCCTCGGGCGGCAGTCAAAGGCAAGCAGCATTGTCCACATCCTCCATCGACGCGCTCTCATCGATAATGCCATTGTCACAATCGCATACCGCTCCAAATACACAATCCATTACTCACTGGGAGAGCTGGATGAGACATGCTGTAGCAGAGACAGACATACGGTCAACGTTGTGGGCGACCTTCAATGGATGTTTGATGCGAAACAGGCAGCGTTCTTGAACTGCAAAACAGATGAACACGATTTTCGTATACTCCTGGAGACAGACGGGATGATCCAGCTGCCTCGGAGGATTCTGCTTTCGCTTCTGGAAACAGAAATAATCGCCCCAGACTATCAAGACATCTCCATCCCACCGAAATACTTTGCAGTCAACCCGAAGAATAAGAGTGTTGAATTTGAATTCTTTTTCAAAATTAACGAACACCTCACTTTATACTCCGATTTGGACTCGCTTATCATTCCGCCTATATTGTTACCGCCCGGAAGTACTGTCTTCAAAGCCGCTGCTTTGGATCCAAACCCTGACAGAGTGGAATGGGTCATTGGCAGGCTTGTTCTATTGAAATATTGCGCCTTTCTTGATTATAACCAAAATACAATTGCTTTTTCTCCGGTGATACCAGAAGCGCCGATCCCCTAATTTATATTGCAATTCGTGCTTATATGAATAAAAGATAAAAACGTTAAGCCAGCCGAAGACATTGAAAACAGATATACTCATAACGGCTATCCACAGCAATGGTAATCAGCAAACTTTATTTTTACATGTCATTTTTAGCCGTAAATGATCACAAAAAAGGTGTAGCAAGCTGTCTTATTTCGTTATGTCTCGATGGTCGTTATCGTCCATACCTATGATCAACATGATTAGCTTTGCGAGCCTGTAGGCTAAAGTGTTCAAAGCAGGACTGTAGTAGCTGCCAAAAACTGTCATTTTTTGTTTATTGTGTAACAGGGAATCACAAAGATGCCTTCTGAGATTCTCAATCGGCTCCGAGAGGGACTCACCATGCTGCTCTACCAGCACTAGAGCGGACCGAATCTCTATTTTATCCACCATTCTTTCTTATTCACACCGCAATGACATGTTTAAATTCGTTATTAAAGTAACCACCTCACTTTACAGTGAAGCTTAGCGCCTTGATAATGAACAAAATACAACTTATTTTTTTACTGTGATTTTTTGTACACATAGACGTTGAACACCTTGCGAGTAAGTGGTCACTCCTTCTTTGATCTTCAAGTCGTAAAAAACCAATTGTTTCGACAAACAACCCTCGCTCAGACAACAATTATTTATATTGCTGTAAATACAATGTACTCGTTTTGTTCAGTTAATTCTCTTTATAATGCCCACCAAAAAAACCAATGGGCGTGGATTATGTCATTGCCGCACCTCAACACTGATTTCTTTAGAGCAGGCTTGCCAATTTTATTTTGGACTCAATGTATTTCTTTATTTTTTGTCTAATATTCTCCTTGCTTTACAAATCGTCAAGTTCGGCCGCAATACTGCTATATGCACTTGACAGTGGATTGGGGCAGAAGAGTAAGATACTAAAATTATGTTAACGTCTTTTGTTATACTGTGTACGACGTGTTAGTGCATTTTGCCTTGCGAGGAAAAAGTGTACACATTTCAAACCCCACGTGCGTGACGTAGCAACATTTTCCAGCACTGCAAAAGATTGGCACTGAATCGCAATATCTACATGTGACGCTAAATTCCGCCGAAATTTTATTACAAGATGCTAATTGTAACAATACATATGGAGAATGTCAGAAATTTTGTAATCAAGGTACGAGCTTTCTTTTCCCATCACTTGTCCACGGCATCGCCTTTGGAGACCCAATATGTAGGTCTACTAAATGTGATGTTTTTAGCAGAGTTTTGCCACCTCTATTGTAATCCGATATGTTGCACAAGCGAAGAGCAACGGACAAAATTTTGCGATGATGTCGATTACCGAGCCTACACGGGCAACTCGACAAAATTTCGAATAACTGGTCCATATATCACACATACCATCGGGAATGGAGTAGGGATTTGGGCTGAAGACGAGCTGTGGCTTTACGACAGCAGAAATAAGAGGTTTAATGTTGGGACGGTACCGTTTGCGCTTCAGGTCGTAAGGAAAGCATATTCTGCGCATGCAACTAAGTAAGTGTAAGCTCCACCGAGCAATGGTTATTGGGCAGAAAAACTGGGTAGGAGATTCTGCGGTTTCAGGGGGAAAATGAATCTCCAAATTCAGCCGAAAAATAAAGAAGTTCTTAATTCAAACCGGGCCACAAAGATATCGCTCTGTAGTAGGACCAAAGGTTTCAAAAGTTTTGTTTCTCTGTATTTTTTCAAAAGATCTATCAATCTTTCAGCGAGGCACACTTTGGGCTCGGAAGGCAATCAAAAAACCATAGTATCGTCCACATTCTGCATCGACGCAAGTTCATAGACAACACCATTGTCACAATCGCTAGCCGTGGCTACTATGCTAGGTATTACATCCTGGGAGAGTTCAACGAAAAATACTGCGGAAGAGACAGGCAGACAGTGAACGTCGTCGGCGATCTTCAATGGATGTTCGATGCGAAACAAGCAGCGTTTCTGAACCACAAAACAGCTGAACACGAATTTCGAATGCTCCTGGAGACCGACAGTATGACACGGATGCCCCGAGAGGTTCTGCATTCGTTTCTGGAATCGGGAGTAGCTACCTTTGACTATACACACAAATATTCCAACCGACAAAACTTCATCCGTCTCGAGCCAGCGCATCAGAACGACACATTTGAATTCTTTTTCAAACTCAACAAAGACCTTGTTTTGTACTCCGACCTGGAATCCACTGACATCTCAAAGTTGTATTTTCCAAACGAAAATACTGCGATATTAGAAGTCGCTGCACTGGATCCAAACCCGGACCGGGTGGAGTGGGTTGTTGGCAGGGTTGTCTTAATGAAATACTGCGCCTTCCTTGACTACAGCCAAAACACGATCGCTTTTTCACCGTTAATACCTCCACATTTGAGACCAAATGGGGACATAGATCAACGGAAGAGCAGGCTCAAGTTGGAGCACTAGACAAGCCAATTGATTATCATCACAATATGTCACTATGATACGTATTATACATACATACGAAATACGTCACCGTATACAGTGACATATTTCACACAGCATTAGAATAATAAAAACATAAGTCTCTCTGAACTTTTAAGTAACGGACACTTAAAAATCGGACGTTTCAAAGCTCCTTAACTGTGTTGACGCCACGCACACGAAGCTTTGAGATAGGGATTGCTTTATTGCTGCGCCTTGATACCTCTTTAAAACCGTCAAAATTCCTACGTCTACGAAAGAGTTGATGCATTTGATTCTTCTTTTTCTTGTATTTTCTTTGCACCAACCATCTACTTTCGCGGCAATGCAGTTTAATGCATTTGACCTTGGAATGGGGCAGTATGGTAAGGTATTGAATTTTTCTTATCAATGTCGCGGATTTCGCTTTGTCCCGCTACACGTAAGAATTCGCATATTCCCACGAAATGAGCGACAAATTACTACATATAAAAGGAATGGGAATTGTCCAATAAATCAATTGTGAAAAATTACATATTCTTTGTGTCTTTTCTCGCTGCGGCGGTTGTGATTTGACCAGTAAATATTACTTCTATTTCTATTTGCCTGTTGTCCTGTGTTGTTGGAATCCGGAGTCAGACTTCGTGAGTTGATCAGTGCAGTTGCCTTGCATAGTACAGGGTGGTTCAGCCGGAGCTTCCACCCTTATTTCAAGGATTTCTCCGCCAATAATGCACCAATTTCTATAAAATTTACATCAAATTGAAGCTGATGCGCCCCATTTTTTGTCCCCCAAATATGACGTACCCAAGTTCAAGGAGGCAACCGTACTGACCTTTGACATTTTCATTCCAAATTTTAAAGCTCGAAATCGGTGAAACTTAGAAAATTTTTGTGTATTGGTCTTCGAACCTAGACTAGGAACCCTCATACACGTGCAAGTTTAAATTAATGAAATTTGTTTTATCTCCAGCGCACCTATACTTCGGCACGAACCGCCAAGACCTAAATTTCGAAGTCACGCTATATTCCGCTGGTATCATGTTGCAAGATGCTAATTGCAACAATACGTATGGAGTCTGTCAAAAGTTTTGTAACCAAGGTGCGAATTTCTTCATTTTCCTGAGGTTCCAAAGTTCATATGGGAAAGAATTCATCCAAATAAGTTTGAGACCTCATTTTGATCAATTTTTGCACGTTCAGAATTGTATGACGTTGTTACGAAGTTAAACACAAGCTCCATTTTTCAGCTGAATTTTGTCACATTTATTGTAATCCTATATGTCGTACAAGCAAAGAGCAACGGACGAAACTCTGCTCTGAAGTTGGTGATTGGGCCTACCAACATAACTCGACCAAGTTCCGGATAACCGGCGAGTACTTCAGAACCGAGAGTGGAGCTGGTATTTGGGCTGAGGACGAACTTTGGCTGAATGACGACCGTGGACGTAAGAGCGTCGGAACGGTCCCGATTGCGCTTCAAGTCGTATGGAAGTCCTTTTCTGCACGGAGCGCCCAGTAAGCAAGGCGGCGAACCTTTTTGTTTTTTTGTTTACATGCTAACATAAGACCAGATGAACTACTCTCACCGATCGTTTTCAGCGGGCTATTTGGACTCGGAAGACAGCCAGCAGCCAACAGCATTGTCCATATTCTTCATCGACACAGGCATATTGATAATGCCATTGTCACAGTTGCTTATCGCGGCCCCATTAACCAAAATTACATCTTTGGAGAGTTAAATGAGGAGTACTGCGAAAAGGACAGACAAACAGTAAACGCTGTGGGCGACCTCCATTGGATGTTTGATGCAAAACAGGCAGCGTTTTTGAATTACAAGACATCAGAGGAGAACTTTAAGATTCTCCTGGAAAGCGACACTATGACCCGTATGCCCCGGAGCATTCTGCGCTGGCTCCAGGAAACGGGAGTAATCACCCCACATAATCGAAGAGGTTTTGCCAATCCGAATTACTTCGCGATCAACCCAGAGCACCTGAATGACACATTCGAATTCTTCTTCAAACTCAACAAGGATCTCATTTTATTCTCCGATTTAGGATCTATTGATATCTCAAAGTACTATTCTTCGGACATTAATACAGCAGTATTTAAAGCCGCTGCTATCGACCCAAACCCGGACAGAGTGGAATGGGTTGTTGGTAGAGTTGTGCTAATGAAGTACTGCGCCTTCCTTGACTACAACCAAAACACGATCGCTTTTTCACCGGTGATACCTCCAGCTCCATGAAATAAAATGGGGAAGGCATTGGAACTCTTAGAACGCAAAAATGCTGGGAACCGAACCTGGCTTGCTTAGGCTTATCAGCCCGCTCGGCAACCACTGCACTATCGAAGCAACCCTCTCCGAAGATTTTTTCCTGCTCATGAGAAAAAAAGATTTTTGTTGCAAAATGATCTAAAAATAATACAATTTACAGTATGTCGTCGTGGAACGGAATTCTGCAAAAAAGGAAAGTGGTGTCTTGTGGATCTGATCGACTAGGAAAATTTGCTGCACTTCCAACTTGTGTTCTGGGGTCTTATATAGGAACATGTTATTAAATTTCCCTAACAGAAAATAGCTTTGGGTATATGTATACATATCCTTGATCAGCACAATTTTTCGAGATTTGTGTTGCGGGCAGATATAAATCATCTCTCCCGCCGTCGGGAGAGAAAGAGAATCTCGCCCTAGATCTTTAGTCGGGGTTTGTTGTAGGCCTTGGGTGCGGACGCGCACCCTTGGAGTCTCCTCAATAAACTTAAAATGGAATATGATATCGGCATATATTGAGCTAATTAATATTGCGCTACTAGAACCAACGGGTCAACATCACCCGCTACAAATGGAGGTCCCTAGTGAGAGTAGCCTTTTAGCTCGGTATTTGTCGATATTCGTTCCTGTATTTTCTATCTATTCTTGTTCTGTATGGTCACTACTATTAGAAATCGATGTGAATTTCTGCGTACCTCAAATATTACCCTACGTTGAACAAAAAACCGGAGACCAATGATGAAATGGAGCGACCCAAGGAAGAGGCAACGACTCCCCCGGTAAATTTTAAAATGATGGTGAATACATGAAAAATGATGTCTACATCACGAGGACGCGATGTCTCTTTTTGGTTGGGAGAGACCAGCACTGCAATGGAGAGTGCCGAAGATGCGCCAAGAGCAAGCGCAAGTGACCAAATCAAGAACAAGACCGATGGCCAAGTATAGGAGACGAATATGAAGTTAAACAGACAGTGAGATTCTTATTATATTTTGTTTTAACCCGACTCAATTCCATTCTGATTGAAAGTCTTTTAAGATCAAGTATCCCTCCGTTAAGGAACCATATTAACATGTTTCTCTAGGTATTGCTGAGATTGTGTTTAAACTCCTAGATGTAAAATTTTGCCCCTCAGATTGTATGTCTTTAGGGTGAAAAATGTTAAGTAAGACGACGAGGGCGTCGTGTCTTTTTGGTTGGGAGGATGTTGCGGGCAGATATAAATCATCTCTCCCGCCGTCGGGAGAGAAAGAGAATCTTGCCCTAGATCTTTAGTCGGGGTTTGTTGTAGGCCTTGGGTGCGGACGCGCACCCTTGGAGTCTCCTCAATAAACTTAAAATGGAATATGATATCGGCATATATTGAGCTAATTAATATTGCGCTACTAGAACCAACGGGTCAACATCACCCGCTACATATGTCCCGTCGAAAAGTAGGAGCCCCGTAAAAGCACTTTCCTTGTACAAGGGCGATGTTGCTTTGATGAAGTACTGCGCCTTTCCTGATTATAACGTCAACAAGACTTCTTCTTCAAAGGTGATGTCTGATAGACTTTCCGCGGGTATTATGTGTATAATGTGCTAATGAACATCTCGGAAAAATTTTTCGAGCTTTGTTATTCAGAGTCTTCGTCAAACCAAGACTGAATTGCAGAATATACATATAGAACGCGATCACTTTACTTATTCACTCTAAACTTGAAAATAGCAAAAATCTGAAAGTTAAGCGGATTCCAAATGTTCATAACAGCGTTGACACGACGCAAACAAAGCTTAGAGATAGGGATTATGGTATTGCTGCACCTCGATACTTATTTCTTCAAACCCATCACCATTCCTCCGCTTATTCAAGGATCAATGCATATGTTTCTTCACTGTTTAGCATTGCCTTTGCTTTTCCAAGCATCTACTCCTGCGGTATTACAACTTAGTGCGCTTGACCTTGGTATGGGGCAGCATGGTAAGATATTGAAGGTTTATCTGCCTCAAAAGCTTGTCACGATTTTGTTCCTTTTGGACAAGCAATATTGTGCATTTCGCTTCATTCTGCTAACCAGGAAAGCACCCCAAGAGCGACGCTCAGATTTTCTTTAAATTTTGCACACACGTCGGGCATAGACTAGATGCTTTGCAGGCGCTGCCGTACTCTCTCGGTGGCAAACGACCTTTGCCATCGAGGGAGTACGCAAAACGCGGAGAGCGGTCAGAGACAAAAGGACTTTTTGGTCATAAGTTTGCTAGTTTCGCGCGGAAAAAATTTATTTTTTGTGGAAAAATTACTCTCAGCAGGTGAATTAGGTATGAAACTTTTCATGTCAAAATTTGGCTAAAATGTTGTTTTTTCAAAGCGCGAACTAGGATTCTGGCATATATCTTAGAAAAAAGATATCTAAAAAATTTATGCCAAGTTTCATCAAAATCTATGCGTCGCACTTGGGGTACTTCCCCTGTAAGCTTTAATTTGCGAAAACTTGATTGTTTCAGCTCGAATACACCTCGGAACGAATAGGAAAGACATACTACTCGATGTCACACTAAATTCCCCGAGCATTTTCTTGCAAGACGCTGATTGCAACAATACGTATGGTGTCTGTCAAAATTATTGTAATCAACGTATGGCTTCTTCCATTTTTTATTTCCTGCGGTGTTTCAACGCCGGGGCTACAATTCCAGAGGTCATGTGGTGAAAAAATGCATTCAAATAAGTTCAGAAATGTCTTACTAAATATGTACTAATTTTAATCCATTTTGGCCGCATGACTAGGGCCGGAATTGTACATAGAGGGTGTTCCAAGGAATTATCCAGAAAGTATTTGCAAATATCTTTGTGTTATTTGCACCTATATGTGCAAGGAGTTCAAACCGTGTTTAGAATTCGAAGTCGTTTGTTTTTAGAACACGTGAAAGACTTTTTTTCTCGCGTCGGCCGTAAGACCATTTTTCGGCGGAGACATTTGAGGTCTTAGTTGAAATTTACATCTTTTTGCAAAGCCCATGCGTCTTTACAATAGACTAAATCAGGTTTGTCACATCAGGCAAAGATACAACCTGTTAGTTTCCACAGCTTTTTCGGACGTTTCACAGTGTCAAAAATATGGGGATGTGGCAAAGGGACTGCGAAACATCAAAGACAACTTATTTTTTAAGTCATACTTCCTTCGGCGAAGCAATCAGCGCTGGAATATAATACCAAAGAAGGTATTATATTCAGATGAGAAAAAAATTTTCAATCCGATTTACGAAAGCCAATCTCTCAGCCGAATCTTCGCTAATGCGCGAAACAATCTCATAAATATATTCGCAAAAATGTACTTGGTGGGATATCTTGAAACACCCTGTATAATGCCACTAGAAAGTTGACATAAGCTCCATTTTCCAGCAGAGTTTTGTAATATCTATTGCAATCCGATATGCTGCATAAGCGAAGAGCAACGAACGAAATTCTGCCTAAACATCGACCCATATTTCGACGCCTACGAACACAACTCGACCGAGTTCCGGGTAACTGGCCAATACTTCAGAACCGAGGCTGGAGCTGGGGTTTGGGCTGAGGACCTACTTTGGCTTAGCAATGGCAAAAGTGCAATTAAGAGCGTCGGTAGGGTACCGATTGCCCTTCAGGTCGTACGGAAGGAATTTTCTAGACGGAGAGGCAAGTAAGTATTTGCAGAGCCAACAAGAAATACACTAGAGCAACCCCTTGGGCTATCCGCAACAATTCTACAGGGTGTTCCTAGAATTATGGGAAAAACTATTCATTAATAACTTTGTGCTCGGTGGTCCAATCCAAAAAATTTTTTTTGCATTTTACAGGAAAACCTTTGAGTTTTTAGAATCAAGAAAAAAAAATTTCATTGATCGGCAGAGACTCCGGTAATCCTCCTTGAATTCGGCGGAGTGCTTTTTTCACAAACGAGGCTGCAAATTGTTGCATGTGTGAAGTAAATGGGCGGGAGAGGATTCAATAGATACAATATGACATTTGTTTCAAATTTTTTTCATTCGGCGGAGACATTTTTTAACCTCGGCGGACGATTTTTCTTCGACTTTTGAGAGTCAAAATTGGCTAAAACCAAAACGTAGGTATTCCTGGTGGCATGGCGCCTAAATACGACTTATTACGTCTTTGGCCTACTGAGAGAAGAAAAAAGGCAGTTCGGCGGAGAAATCGGCGGAGAAAAAAATGAACCCATTTTACAGCCTCGTTTGTGAAAAAAGCACTCCGCCGAATTCAAGGCGGATTGCGGAAGTCTCCGCCGGTAAAACGAAAAAATCTTTTTTGATTCTAAAAACTCCAAGGGTTTTCTGCAAAATGCAAAAATTTTTTTTCGGATTGGACCACCGAGCACAAAGTTATTAACGAATAGTTTTTTCCATAATTCTTGGAACACCCTGTACTCTAACCGATTATTTTTAGTGGGCTGTTTGGACTGGGAAGAGAGCCACAAAAGAACGGCATTGTCCATCTTCTCCAGCGACGCAACCACATTGATAATGCCCTTGTCACAGTGGCTTACCGTGGCTACTACAATATGTACATCCTAGGAGAGTTCAATGAGAGATACTGCAGCAGGGACAGACAAACGGTCAACGTTGTGGGAGATCGTCTTTGGATGTTTGATGCAAGGCAAGCAGCGTTTCTGAACTACAAGTCAGAAGAGCACAATTTTAAAATTCTTCTGGAAAGCGAAACCATGACCCAGATGCCTCGAGAGATTCTACGTTTGCTTCAAGAAACAGGAATAATCACCCCAGATTATAGAAAAGGCATTGTCCGTCCGAATTACTTCGCAATCAACCCAGAGCATCTGAATGACACATTTGAATTCTTTTTCAAGCTCAACAAGGATCTGACTTTATTCTCCGATTTAGCATCTATTGATATCTCCAGGTACTATTTTCCGGACGTTGATACAGTAGTATTTCAAGCCGCCGCTCTCGACCCAAACCCCGACAGAGTGGAATGGGTTGTTGGCAGATTTGTTTTATTGAAATACTGCGCCTTCCTTGACTACAACCAAAACACGGTCGGTTTTTCACCGGTGATACCTCCAACTCCATGAAATAAAATGGTGAAGGCATTGGAAAATGTGGATATCCTTATTAGTTTGCCTTTTGCAAGGATTGCTCGTTGTTTTCACTGTATTACCAAAGTTTTGCAGAGCTGTATGAAAATTTATCTTAACCTACGATTAAAATATTAGAATACAGAAATTGATTCCTTCTTTGTTCCGCTTTTCATGAACACTTACCTGCCCAAGACTGAATGGGACGGCATTTATGTAAATGAATGTTTGGAGTTGTTAAATTTTCCTTCACTTTGGTCAGCGATGTTGTGGAAAGAACAATTTTTTGTTTGCTTGTGATTTCAAGCAAACAAAAAATACATAATGACCAAATGTACAAAAAAAGGATCAGTTTTTTTATCGGCAAAATTTTTTAAAGGACCAAAACAACTACATTTGAACGCGGATTTTTACGGCTTGGAGGTGCGCCTCGCCAAAAGCTGCGAAAATCCCGCGAAAAAAATAAATACAAAAAATAATTGAGAATTTCTCTCGAACATGTTGTTGACAAGAAGAATTGAGGTTTGTTCATGTTCAAAAGCTGGGAACAAGCCTGTTTGGTCGTGTGGATCGTGACAATACCCCTTCAGACGCTTTTGGGTAACACTGATGTAAGTTTTTTTTGATTTCGACGGTTTTTTTTCGCATTTAGGTAGATGTGAAGGAAAATGTGCAATGTTTTTGATGTTCCTTTGAAAAACGGCATGCGCAATGTTGAGGAGCAGGTTTTGGACTCAACGCTTTTGTGCCGGCGATTTTCTTACCTAGTTCGACCTGTTTTTACCCATTTTGAGGTGTTTTATATTAGTTTGGTCAAGTCTTTTAATTTCAGAGTAGTTCAATCTTCTGGAAGGACGCGTGAAGAAGAATTCTCCAAAGAACCACCTTGACATCAAGATTCCAGGCATCTATGGATTTGTAGGTAATGTCTTTTTTATTTGTTTGCATAAACATTTAGTTTAGACTGGGACTTGTGTTCATGAGCCAATGGATCCTGCGCAGGAGACGAAAACGGGCAGAACATCACCGGATGTACCAACAACTGCAGAATTTTAAACGTTTAACCTTCTTCTGATGTTTTATTTATGCTTTAGACAATAAAAGATATATTAAGTTATATTCCTTCGGTTTGAAGTACATTTTAGATAAAGAAGCGTTGACGTCAGTCACAATTTCGCGTGGTCCAATAGTTCCTTCGTTCTTCATTGGCGATTCCAGGCGATTGAACAACTCTGGAATTAAAATACTTGACTAAAACAATATAAAAAACCTCAAAATGGGTAAAAACAGGTCGAAATAGGTAAGAAAATCGCCGGCACAAAAGCGTTGAGTCCAAAACCTGCTCCTCAACATTACGCGCATGCCGTTTTTCAAAGGAACATCAAAAACATTGCACATTTTACTTCACATCTACCTAAATGCGAAAAAAACCGTCGAAATCAAAAAAAACTTACATCAGTGTTACCCAAAAGCGTCTGAAGGGGTATTGTCACGATCCACACGACCAAACAAGCTTGTTCCCAGCTTTTGAACATGAACAAACCTCAATTCTTCTTGTCAACAACATGTTCGAGAGAAATTCTCAATTATTTTTTGTATTTATTTTTTTCGCGGGATTTTCGCAACTTTTGGCGAGGCGCACCTCCAAGCCGTAAAAATCCGCGTTCAAATGTAGTTGTTTTGGTCCTTTAAGCCTTGTTATTTCAGAGTCTTCGTCAATCCAAGACATCTGAATTGCAGAATATAGAACGCGACTTTACTTATTCATTCTAAACTTGAAAATAGCAAAAATCTGAAAGATAAGCGGATTTCAAATGTTCATAACAGCGTTGACACGACGCAAACAAAGCTTAGAGATAGGGATTATGTTACTGCTGCACCTTGATACTTATTTCTTCAAAGCCATCACCAGTTTCTCCGCTTATTCAAGAATCGATGCATATGTTTCTTCCCTGTTTAGCATTGCCTTTGCTTTTCCAAACATCTACTCCTGCGGTGATACAGGTTGATGCGAATGACATTGGAACGGGGCAGTATGGTAAGATATTGAAGGTTTATCTACCTCAAAGCTTGTCACGATTTTGTTCGTTTTGGGCAAGCAATATCGTGCATTTCACTTCATTCTGCAAACAAGGGAAGTACCCCAAGGGCGACGCTCAGACTTTCTTTAAAAAATTGTTTTTTCTTTAAAAAGTATTCTAAATTTATGCCAGTTTCGTCAAAATCTATGCGTCGCACTTGGGGTACTTCCCCTGTAAGCTTTAATTTGCGAAAATTTAATTTTTTCAGCTCTACTAAACCTCGGAACGAATAAGGAAGTCGTAGTATTCGATATCACACTAAATTCCGCAAATATTTTCTTGCAAGACGTTGATTGCAACAATACGTATGGAGTCTGTCAAAATTTTTGTAATCAACGTATGGCTTCTTCCCTTTTTTATTTTCTATGTAAATATTTATACTCGCAAAAATGTACTTGGTGGGGTATATCTTGAAACACCGTGTATACTGCCGCTATAAAGTTGACATAAACTCCATTTTCCAGCAGAGTTTTGTAATATCTATTGCAATCCGATATGCTGCATAAGCGAAGAGCAACGAACGAAATTCTGCCTAAACGTCAACCAATTTAATGAGTCCTACAAACACAACTCGACCGAGTTCCGGGTAACTGGCCAATACTTCAGAACCGAGGCTGGAGCTGGGGTTTGGGCTGAGGATATACTTTGGCTTCACAGCACGCAAGGCACAATGAATGTCGGTAGGGTACCGATTGCCCTTCATGTCGTACCAAAGGAATTTTCTAGACGGACCATCAAGTAAGTATTTGCTGAGTCAACAAAAAATACATTAGAGATGGGCTATCCGCAAAAATTCTACTCTGACCGATCATTTTTAGTGCGCTGTTTGGACTGGGAAGAGAGCCACAAAAGAACGGCATTGTCCATCTTCTCCAGCGACGCAACTACATTGATAATGCGATTGTCACAGTTGCTTACCGTCGCGGCTACAATTTATATATCCTAGGAGAGTTCAGTGAGAGATACTGCAGCAGGGACAGACAAACGGTCAACGTTGTTGGAGATCGTCTTTGGATGTTTGATGCAAGGCAAGCAGCGTTTCTGAACTACAAGTCAGAAGAACACAATTTTAAAATTCTTCTGGAAAGCGACAGAATGATCCAGATGCCTCGAGAGATTCTACGTTTGCTTCAAGAAACAGGAATAATCACCCCAGATTATCCAAAAGACAGTGTCCTTTCGAATTACTTCATAATCAACCCAGAGCATCTGAATGACACATTTGAATTCTTTTTCAAGCTCAACAAGGATCTGACTTTATTCTCCGATTTAGCATCTATCGATATCTCCAGGTACTATTATCCGGACGTTGATACAGTACTATTTGAAGCCTCTGCTCTCGACCCAAACCCGGACAGAGTGGAATGGGTTATTGGCAGATTTGTTTTATTGAAATACTGCGCCTTTCTGGACTACAACCAAAATACAATTGCTTTTTCTTCGGTGATACCTCCAACTCTATGAAATAAAATGGTGATGAATGTATTACACTTATAATATTAATGCTGTTTAAATAAATGCTTTTCTTGATTTTACAATCTCAAAAAAATTTCGTTTTCCAAGGTGATTTCTCATTGAATGGCGGGTAGTACACAGTTAGCTATTCACGAGTTACACACTGTTTTTATTAAAAAGCCCATGTTCTGTTATCTTAGTTGTTTCTTCATAAGAAGCCTGACAGTCTTTCTCCCATTGTTATGAATAAATATAATATAAAGGATAGGTTATTGGAAACGGGCTGGGAACTTTATCTATTGGAGTACTGTTTTCGAATCGGAACGCCCCATGTCAACAGATTGTCCTTATAATTCTAATAAGAAGGCAGGGGAAGATCGATCAGCTTACCCATTCCAATATCAAAGCACAGAAACAGGGAAAATGCACGTCCTATTTCTTACATAAGAACGACAACCCTATATAAGCTTGGATTATACCGCAGATTGCTGCACCTTGAAAACTATTTCCGAAAAACAGACAAGTTTGCACAAAACGCAAAATGCACCGTTTATTTCCGTTTCTTGTATTCCCTTTGCTCTTTCATGCATCCACTTCATCACGAATTCTTCCGGCTGTTTTCGACGAAGGAATGGTGCAGAGCAGTAAGCCAACGGTAGTACAACTATACGCAGTTACTACCGGACTGTCGCAGATCAGTAAGATTTTAAAGGCTCATACGTCCTTTATTTTATCCATATATTATTTCTGCACACATATTTCCAGCGCTGCAACGGGTCGGCGCATTCAACGGTTTCCAAGCGTTTGTGATAACACTAAATTCTGGGGATATTGTTCTGCAAGATGCTGACTGCAACAACACGTACGGAGTCTGTCAGAAGTTTTGTAATCAAGGTACGGGCTTCTTCCATTCCTTTTTTAGCGAGGAGTATAATTCCGGTCACCGGACTCCTCAGTTTGACGTGCGCCGACGCTATAGTCCCGTACCGTGTCGCGTGGCAAAAAATATATACCTCGATTTTCCGACTTCAAAAGAGAAGGACGTACTACATCTCTTACGCACCCTAGAACATCCACGAATCAATTTTTAGCAATGTGATGTGGTCTAGGATTGTACAGTGCCTCTTTAAGGTTGACGCAGGCTTTATTTTTCAGCAGAGTTTTGTCGGCTTTACTGTAATCCGATATGTTGCACAAGCGAAGAGCAACGGACCAAACTTTGCTCTACCGTCGCTGAGTGGGCCTACCCACACAATTCGACAAAGTTCCGTGTAACTGGCCCATACTTCCAAACCGACACCGGAGCTGGGATTTGGGCTGAGGACGAACTTTGGCTCCATAGCACACGTGGCACAACAAATGTCGGTTCGGTAGCGATTGCGCTGCAGGTCGTGCGGAAAGCGTTTTTTGGACGGGGCGGCGTGTAAGTACGGGTTGAGCCAACAAAAATAAATATTTTTCAAAATAATTGAGAAATTAAGGATAAGAATTTGCAAGTGTTTTTATTGATCCCAATATTTTGTGAGATAACGGCAATGCGATTAAACTCTGACTGACCGTTCCTCTTTATTGCGCTTTTCAATCTCCACATTTGACTGGCCGCCCCAGTTGTCAGGTTACCGGGTGTTGCCCACCAACCCGCCACTCAGTTCCTGGAGTTACCTTAGTAATGTCTAATATAACCCGACATTTTTTAGCCATTACATTGGACTGGGAAGACGGTCAAGAACCAACAGCATTGTCCATGTTCTCCATCGACGCGGCTACATCGATAACGCTATTGTCACAATCGCTTACCGTGGCCTCCACAATCAATATTACCTCCTAGGAGAGTTTAACGAGAGATACTGCGAAAAAGACAGACGTACGGTCAGCGTTGTAGGCGATCTTCACTGGATGTTCGATGCAAAACAGGCCGCGTTTTTGAACCACAAAACAGCAGAGCACAATTTTCGAATTCTACTGGAAACCGACAGTATCACAATGATGCCTCGAGAGATTCTACGTTTGCTTCAAGAAACAGGAATAATCACCCCGGATTATCAAAAAAGCGAAGGTGATGCCCACCAGAATTACTATACAATCAACCCGAAGCATCTGAATGACACATTCGAATTCTTTTTCAAACTCAACAAGGATCTTACTTTATACTCCGATTTAAAATCCATCGATGTTAAAAAGTGGTATTTTCCTGAAACAGATACAGTTGTTATCAACGCCGCTGCATTGGATCCGAACCCGGACAGAGTGGAATGGGTTGTTGGCAGAGTTGTTTTAATGAAGTACTGTGCCTTCCTTGACTACAACCAAAACACGATCGCTTTTTCACCGGTGATTCCTCCGCCTTATGAGATGCATGGGTGATGGAACACTTATTAAAGCAGTTTGTGCGACACAGACGTTGAAAAACGCAGATATCTCAATTAAAAAATATGTCCTTTGTGAATTTAGATCACTATTTTTACTGTATCTTCCATATCTTCTAGATTTATTATACGTATAAAGAAAAAACTTCTTATATTTTAAGAGCGTTTTCCAATCCAAGCATTTGGGTAGAAGAGGTTTTGTATCTATCACTTTACTCACTCTCTATAAACTCCTAGGTAGGAGTGCATGTAGAGAATTCAATGCATTTTATGCCTTGCCAGCTACGATAATGCTACACCAAAAAACCATATCTGAGGATTATATTACTGCTGCTCCTTAAGACTTATTTCCTTAAAAGACAAAAGTCTCCAAGTCAAGTCAACTTTAATGCTGTCGCCTCTTTCTTGTTTGCTGTTTTCTTTGCTTTTCCAAAGATCCACTTCCGCGATAATACTACACTCACTTGACAAAGGAACAAAGCAGACCGGTAGGATATTGAAGGCTTATACAGCTTTCGTTTTACCCATATTAATATTTAAAATATAATAGCTCTCTTAAAAATTGCGTTTATTTAGGAAATAAACGCAATTGACTTTTCAGTTTTGGGAAGGGTCGGAACTGGCCGCGAGTGGGTATTGTTTGAGATCAGACTAAATTCTGCAGAATTTTTGTTGCAAGATGCTGATTGCAACAACACGTACGGAGTCTGTCAGAAGTTTTGTAATCAAGGTATGTGCTGCTGTCATTCTTTCTCTTTGACGCTGCAGTTTCGAACGTGTGGCAAAGAATGCATCTAGAATGAGTTCAAACAATAAAGCGGATGTGAGTTTCTTTAGGAAGCCTTTTCTGATTTAAATAATGCCGGGAACTCTGGTTACTCGCGTCCCAGAATTCACCTAGACGCATTTTTTTGCCACGTGATTCGGTCAAGGTTACATTCTATCCGTACGAGGTCGGCCAAAAAGTCTTGAAACCTTTGACATCGCGACACCGCACGATGCGCAAACATCTTAAAGCCTTTTTCGCCCGCCTATTAAAACTTGATAAGGGCTTCACTTTCAAGCAGAGTTTTGTCGCATTTATTGTAATCCAATATGCTGCACAAGTGAAGAGCAACGGATCAAACTCTGCTCTACTGCCGCGAATGGGGCCTACCAGCACAACTCTACAAAGTTCCGGGTAACTGGCCGGCACTTTAGAACGGAGGCTGGAGCTGGGATTTGGGCTGAGGACGAACTTTGGCTTGACAGCACGCGTGGGATAATAAGTGTCGGTACGGTACCGATTGCGCTTCAGGTGGTACAAAAAGCCTTTTCTGCACGGAGCTCCGAGTAAGTTTGAACTCTTCATCTTCTGCGAAAAATCCTCTCTCTCAATCGATTCTTGGCTTTGCGTTTTAATTATTTTTTTTTTGCAACACAACTTTTCGCTTTGAGACTCAGAATTACAGTTTTGCCGAGCCGGCTCGACTGAAAACGTTGGCGGAACCCGACTCGAGAGCCAAGTCTAAATTGACCGATTATTTTTTAGTTCGGTCTTTGGCCTCGGCAGACAGTCAAAGACCCACGGCATTGTCCATGTTCTCCATCGACGCGGGTACATTGATGATGCGATTGTCACCATCGCTTCCCATGGATACTACGATCGAGATTACTTCATGGGAGAGTACAATGAGAGATACTGCGAAAAAGACAGACAAACTGTCAACGTTGTAGGCGATCTTCACTGGATGTTCGATGCAAAACAGGCCGCGTTTTTGAACCACAAAACAGCAAAGCACGATTTTCGAATTCTATTGGAAACCGACAGTATCACCATGATGCCTCGACGGATTCTACATTCCTTTTTGGAGTCAGGAATAATCGTCCCTGTTTATAAAGAACGTATTAACGACCCAAATTTCTTTACAATCAACCCGAAGCATAGAATAGTGATATGTAAAATAAATTTTATAATCTGAGTTCCTTGAAACACTTCCTTTGTAAGGTTGCTTTTTTACCCGTGCTTAAAGTGCGAGGTTCCGTAAGCCAGCGCCCAAATAAAGATTGTTCCCGCTGCGGGACCCAACACGGCAGGTCTCTCTTGCCAGAAAATAAAAAAATTGTTTTTTTGTTGTACAAAATGGATCAAACAGTGTGAAGATGGATGGAGATCAGTGAAAAAGGTATGTTTTATCGTGTTTTCTGATTTAGAGCAGCTCGGCAAAAAATTTTACGAAAGCTGGTCCAAGATTTTTTGTGTGTTGAGCGATTTTACGCAATTTTTTACATAAGGAAGCATAAAAATGGGTGTAGCTTCCAAAACAACCGTCCAGGAGAGGTGGTGATTGAGTTTTGGTCAAGTTAGGGTCAAAACCTTCACCAGACTACCTAGTGTAATATATTTTTTTCTAGGAATTCGAATCCAGATGAAGCCAGACGGCTAAACTTCGCCACGAAGACTCGCTGAAGCCAGAAGGAGACACAAAACTGGTCAAAGTCAATGCTGGTTTAGCGTTTTTCTAAGCTGATGTCGCATCGAAAAGGTGAGTTTTACTTGGTTTTCACGTTTTAGATCAAGAAATCTTTGCTGATTGAGCAAGCCAATCTGTCTAGCTTCCCAATGATGCTATCTGGAACGCGGTTGCTCGATTTTGCGCCACGCTAGGCATAAGTCCATGATCCACACCCAATATGTCAAGTGTAATATAATTTTTTTCAGCTGACAACTCCCCGACCTGAAGCTCCGACTATGCCAAACACATGAAACTTTTTTTGGACGATAAAGAAGGTTTTGCAGATCAAACAGTGAGGAAAGAAGGACAATTTTATTATAAAAAACATAGTAATAAGTATTTTCACATTCATAATAAACATAACACCACCGATCTATTGTTGAATCCGTTAGAATCTGCTACTGAACTCTCTCTCTTGATCAGGCTCATGGGCATGGGGGACAAGTGGGCCGGAATTCCTGGAAACATTATATTACACTGGATATATTGGATCTGGTGTGGCGCAAGATGGAGCAACCGCATCCCAGATAGCGTCATTGGGACAGATTGCCTTGCTCAAGCAGCAAACATTTCTTGACCTAAAACGTGAAAACCAGTAAAACTCACCTTTTCGATGCGACATCAGCTTAGAAAAACGCTAAACCAGCGTTGACTTTGACCAGTTTTGTGTCTCCTTCTGGCTTCAGCGAGTCTTCGTGGCGAAGTTTAGCCGTCTGGCTTCATCTGGATTCGAATTCCTAAAAAAAAAATATATTACACTAGGTAGTCTGGTGAAGGTTTTGACCCTAACTTGACCAAAACTCAATCACCACCTCTCCTGGACGGTTCTTTTGGAAGCTACACCCATTTTTATGCTTCCTTATGTAAAAAATTGCGTCGCTCAACACACAAAAAATCTTGGACCAGCTTTCGTAAAATTTTTTGCCGAGCTGCTCTAAATCCGAAAACACAATAAAACATACCTTTTTCACTGATCTCCATCCATCTTCACACTGTTTGATCCATTTTGTACAACAAAAAAACAATTTTTTTATTTTCTGGCAAGAGAGACCTGCCGTGTTGGGTCCCGCAGCGGGAACAATCTTTATTTGGGCGCTGGCTTACGGAACCTCGCACTTTAACGAAGTACCCGTACAAATAAAACAATGTGTAGATTACTTGAAAATTGCAGGTGGTATACACAAGAAATGCGGCAGTCTATGTTAAACGCGCCATCTTTTGTTAACACTAATCGCTGCTTTTACATTAAGAATGTCTTATCAGTATTATGCGGCTGCAAAACACCACTATTATACGACGAATGAGAGGATTACAAAAAGATCCCTTTTTAATACCATTGTTCTTTATTTTTTCGCTTGCTTAATACAAGATAAATTCGTTTCAAAATACCGTTCACAAACATAAAGGAATAGGAAATTATATCGCTACAGTCCTGTGTTTTGGACTGGCAGATATAAAAAAAAGGTTGCGGCATGTTGTATGTGCATACGTACAAGGGCGCAGTGGTTAATCAAGGTGATTCGGTAAGAAGTCCTAACGATGAGTGTACACTCCTTACAGTATTTAATCTACAGGACTTTAATGGGAGTACTGTAGCAAGTTAAGTACTTATATCATTCCTCTGATTTGCCTTGAAGCTACAACAAAGAAGCTTATGAGCACGGATTATATGTATTGTTGTTGTCCTTCATATCTATTTCTTTAAATCAGCCACAGGCTGCTAAGTTTGTTCAAGACTTAATGCACTGGCTTCTCCTTTGCTCAACACTTCCTCTGCTTTTTCAAGCATCAGCTTCAGCGGTGATACAATTCTATGCACTGGACGGCGGAGTGGTGCAGACGTGTAAGACATTCAAATTTGCTGAGCCTTTTACATGCATATTTTTATCAAAATAAATCGACCATGACTAATCCGCAAATTTACGATGCTGCTTTTCCAGCGGTGCAATACTTCGGCTCTGACTGCATGTGGGTTCTGTCGCAGATCACCCTGACTTCTGCCGACATTATGTTGCCAGATGCCGATTGCAACAATACGTATGGAGTCTGTCCGAAATATTGTAATCAAGGTAAGAGCTTCACTTATCGATAATGTTTTTTTCCAGCCGAGTTTTGCCGCATTTACTGCAATCCGATATGTTGCACGAGCGAAGAACAACGAATTAAGTTCTGCTCTGACATCATCGAACGGCCTTACCAACACAATTCGACCGAGTTTCGGATTACGGGCCAATACTACCGAACCGACAGTGCAGCTGGGGTTTGGGCTGAAGACGTGTTTTGGGTTAATGACATACGCAAGATAATAAGGGTCGGTACGGTACCGATTGCGCTTCGGGTCGTAAAGAAGGGGTTTAACGCACAAGGAGGGGAGTAAGTACACTTTAGCTTACTTTGTGAAACAGGGGACGCATTCCAAATGCGAAGTTCAGGTTTTGATGAAACTTGGCGCAAATTTAGGCTACCTACTCTGTATAATTATCGTTTTTAGGGCGCTTATTGGGCTGGGAAGACAGTCAAAGGCCAACGGCATCGTTCATATTCTCCAGCGGCGCGGATTCATCGATAACGCCATCGTCACCATCGCCTACCGTGGCAGTTTTAGTCTGTATTACATACTTGGAGAGTACAACGAAAGATACTGCAGCAGAGATAGGCGAACCGTCAACGTCGTGGGTGAGCTTCAATGGATGTTTGACGCGAAACAGGCAGCGTTTCTGAACCACAAGACAGAAGAGCACGATTTTCGAATTATTCTGGAAAGCGACAGCATGACCCGGATGCCTCGGCACCTGCTACACTCGTTTCTAGAAACTGGAATCATTTCCCCAGAATACAAAAAATATGTCATCCGACCAAATTTCTATAAAATCAACCCGGCGCATCTGAACAATACATTCGAGTTCTTCTTCAAACTCAACGAAGACCTCACTTTGTACTCCGACCTTGCCTCTGTTGTGCTTCCTGAGTTGCATTTTCCTTCCCGAAAATCACTGGTGCTTCAGGCCGCTGCATTGGATCCAAACCCGGATGGAGTAGAATGGGTGGTTGGCAGAGTTGTTTTAATGAGGAACTGCGCGTTTCTTGACTACAACCAAAATTTGATCGCTTTTTCAAGAGCAATAAAGTGAAGCCCCAGCACACGAGATGTTATAAAATGATAAATAATTTAAAAGTTGTACGTGGATTACTGAATTGGCCATCGTAATAAGCAACCAGCCAATCGTTCAGCGCCGTTGTCAATTGGATCTTTTTAGCAAGTATATGTAGTAAAATATTTTTTATTTTTTAGTAGATGTAAAATAGATTTCCGGCCTTGTTTGCACATTAGACAAGGAAACTTTCTTGACACTTCGTTTCTTCAATCGGGAAAAGCGAGATTCAATAGTTGCTGTACTGTCTCTTTAGCATTATATTTTTTTGGTTGTTAATGCCTTCTTCGCTTGATTTATGAGCCAAAAATTTCTCACACAGGATAATTTGATGACCTGACTAGTCTGTTGTGTTAGAAAACAGTTGAAGTGGTTCTCTGGTTTCTTTATTCTTACGCAATAGGCACTTTATTTTGGCGATTTAAAAGCAAAAACTTTACGATCATGAGGGATGCTAAACTCTAGACATTACACTCTCTAACGGCTACTGTTTTACAGATGATCAGCTTGTAATTCAGTTCAATTTTAGCCTAGAAATCCTTGTCGTGTTTTTCTCGGCATTAGAATCCAACTTCATGTCGGGTTTCTAAAGAAAAATTTGAGTCAAAGCAAAAGAGCTCGGGAAACACCGGACCTTTGATAAGATATTCTCGATATCACCGTTGAAAACAAAGTCCATTTTCGCTACGACTTTATATCGTCGACCTTCGAAGCAGCCTTGATGTTTTTTAAAGATCACTTTTGAAGATTGTCGTAACGTCGGGCAAATTCTCCGCTCTCAATTTCGATAAAAAGCATTCTCCCCAAAAACCATATCTCTCTACGTTCCGTCGACGAAAAGCCCGTAAACACCCGGCAAGACCAAAGTCCATAATCTGCAGGGTTTTTGCGACCTCTTTAAATGGGTGTTGTTTATGTTTCTTCCAATCATTTCGGGGTCCCCTCGTGACCACTCATTCATATTTTCATTTCCCCCCGTTTCAGTCCGGTTTCAATCAAGGTAATATGGCGGAGGTCGGCGGTTCATATCAACCAGCACTTACCAAGGAACAACAAGATGAGTTGGTGGCCATTGCGGCCAAGATCACTCAGCCTGGCAAAGGGATCTTGGCGGCGGATGAGAGCACCGGTAAGTGAGGGGGATTGAGGCCGGTTTGGCTTATTGTTAGGAAAAAGTGAAAAGCTGTGGGATAAAATTTGTTTTTTTGATGAAGTTTTAATTAGTCTTACAGGACCGACCGGCAGTGACCAAATTGCTAAGATATCATTGCCTTTTTGGGAGCTATTTAAGATTCTTTTCAAAGCAGAAATTGATGCATCTTAAGGAAAACAACTTCTTCAAAGCTAAATTAGAAAAAGTCCTGGAAAAAATTTGTTGCGTGACCAACCTTTTTCTTGTTCAGTCTTCTCCATAAATTTTTTTAGTATCCCAAAAAAGCACCCTTAAAACGTAAGCTAAGATATATAGTAACTATGATATGGTGCTTCCTCGGAAAATTTCAAAACCTTAAACGGCACCCTTCCTAAAAATTCAAGTCCAGAATTAACTGCTCTGCCCATTTCAGGTACCATTGGCAAACGTCTTGCCTCTGTGAATCTCGAAAACACCGAAACAAACCGCCAAAAATACCGTCAGCTTCTTTTCACCACCCCAAGTTTCGGCCAACATATTTCTGGAGTCATCTTATACGAAGAAACCTTCCATCAGAAGACCGACAAAGGCGAGAGATTCGTCGACGTCATCCGAAAAGCTGGCGCTGTTCCCGGAATCAAATTGGACTTGGGCGTGGTCCCATTGGCCGGAACTTTGGGCGAGGGCACCACTCAAGGCTTGGACAACCTGGCCAAGCGCGCTGCTGAATTCAAGAAAGGAGGCTGCGATTTCGCCAAGTGGAGATGTGTCCTGCACATTGGAAAGCACGTCCCATCCCATGTGGCGTTGCAAGAAAACGCCAATGTCTTGGCCAGATATGCCTCGATTTGTCAGCAAAATGGACTGGTTCCAATTGTGGAGCCGGAGGTGTTATGCGATGGAGATCATGATCTGGAAAGATGCCAAAAGGTGCGAAAAAAATATGGATGAAAATTTGGAAAAAACCCAACTGATTTTTTGCAAATTCTTTAGTAATTTTTTGCAAAAGAAAATAATTAATAATTTTTACAACTTTCACTGCTTCTGTAACACGGAATTCTGTTCTGCGCGTTCTCTGTTTCCGCGTGACTTTCGCCATATCGGCGGACTTTTATCTCCCCTACCTGAATAGTGTAAACAGGGGAAAGACCCAAAAAAAGGGGAAAAGTCGGTTGTGTGATCAATGATGGTTTTTGTGAATGATAATGACCCGCCAAAAGAAGTATTAAAAGTCTAAAAGAAGCGAATATATCTACTTGACAAGCATAAGGATAAAAGCTTGATGATACACTGAATTTTTGTAGGTAACCGAACAAACTCTCGCCTACACGTACAAAGCTCTGGCTGATCATCATGTTTTCCTGGAGGGAACTCTCCTCAAGCCCAACATGGTCACTCCAGGACAATCTCATTCAAAGAAGGCGACTCCAGAGGAGGTTGGATTGGCTACGGTCACTGCTTTGAGAAGAGGTGTCCCGGCTGCCGTTCCTGGTAAGAATATGAAATTTTGAGGGTTCTAGTTTAGATAGGTTGGGTTTGGGCCAAAGAATGTCTTTAGTGGCTGTAGTGGGCTGCTTAGATTTTGATATGGGAAGTAAAATTTAAATTTTGGGTAGAAATTGGTCTAAAATTCTGGTGTACCCCCGATTTTTGCAGTGGAAAGTTAGATATCTCCTTTAGATACCCTGATAAATGCTTTGGTACGCGTCTTTATTGTCTTGCAAACGATTACCAAACCTATTTATAGCATTTACCAAAAATCATTTTATAGCTGACCGCCTCTACATTACCCATACTGTCTCGTTTGAAATCCTAAGTTGTCTTAACGGAAAATATATAACTCCAACGTATTTTGCAACCTTTTTTCGTGGCCTACATTTACAAAATTTTCTCTTCAGGTATTGTCTTCCTCTCGGGCGGTCAATCCGAAATCGACGCCACCAAGAACTTGAATGCCATCAACCAAGTCGACCTCGTCAAGCCATGGCGTCTCTCCTTCTCATACGGTCGTGCTCTGCAAGCCTCGGTCTTGAAGGCATGGCAAGGAAAGGACGCGAACATTGAGGCTGCTCAGAAAGTGCTGCTTCATCGTTCCAAGGCCAACGGAGACGCTCAGTTGGGAAAATATCAAGGCGAAGAAGGAGCTGCAGCGGCCGCTGAGAGCTTGTTCGTCAAGAACCATTCTTACTAAAAAGATTACTATTTAGTTGCCATTTTAATGTGAAATAAATTTTTTGGAAGTTTTAAAATTTCCTTTGATTTTTTAAGCGTTGAAATATGGGAAGCCTAAAATTACATTAAATTCAATTTTAAAATACGGGCGTCCACAAGATTGCACCTTTCTCCAAATTAGAATTTATTCTGCATATAAGTCCGTCCAAATTTACAAGTTTAGTTATGCCCGTTGATTATACGTATTATACATTAGCTGCTGTTATATCGAGTTGTAATTGTAATGATTCAAGTTGGAGTGCTCGGACAAAGTTTTGACCATGTTTGGCGACAGTTTTGGGATGTAAGCCCGAGGAATCAGCCAGGTGGACAGGTTGAAAAAGTCCAGGAAGATTTTGTAGCGGTCGCTGACCGTTGATCTGAGGTAGAGGTAGCCGGAACTTCCGCCAGTGCCTTGCTTCGCGCCCAACATTCGCTGGACCAGCATTACGTGGTTGTCTGAAAAATTGGTGGGGTTAGGAGGAAAAGTGAGGGGAAAAATAGTACAAGTCTGTCAAAAAAGTGACCAAGGAATATTTTTAGATGCTTTGGTTAATGTTTTTCAGCGAGTTTGAACTACGTATTATTCCTCCGTCGGGAAAATAATGAGCCCTTTGCTGTATAAAAAATAGCATCAACGCCGAGAAAATGAATTGTGTCGCGGGGAAACCAAATTGCTTTTCATTTCAGCGACGCATTTGGCGCATCGACATAGTGCCCATTATTTTCCCGATAGACGGAGAGTATAAACTATACAAAAATCATCAAAACAGGTCATCAGATCAATTATTTTTCCCGCGAAATCATGATCGTTTCTGCAAAGGGCTAGCTAAAAATTTCGCCGGCATTATGTGTCTCGAATAAAAGATTTGTTGTGGAGCGTCAAACGTCTCCACAATTCCCACAGAAATTAGCATAAACCAAGTCATATAAAAGCAACGTCTCGTCACCAATTAGAATAATTAATCCCATTTTTCTCTTTTCCATGTGTGCGGTTGCAATAAACCTAATTCTAACGTGTGTCGATCCATTACCTCTACTTATCTATATTTGATCCTACACCACATGGGGGCTGAGCCGGGGATTGAATTTTTTGATGTACTAAACTCTGTGTTGCGCAAGACACGTTTAATGCAATGCGGAGTTGCTTGGACAGTTATCGATGCATTAGAGACAGCTTTTAAAAAAGGGTTCACTTCGTTACATCCCTTCAAACAATAAATTGTCAACTTACATCTCCATTTCTGCAAAAGCGAGTCAATGTCCATAAGATAGGTCAGAATTTGATAGGGCTGAGAGAATCTTGGCATGTCACGGTAGAAATAAATCATCAACGCGCCTTTCAGGGCATCGTGGCTGAGTCTGCGTTCTTCTGAAAGCAATTTTATCAGTTTGCTTTAAAATACGTCAGCGTTTGTTCAGACGTCTTTACAAAGTCTAAAAATCCCCGTACTTTTATCCAAAAAGATCTGATAGATCTTCGCGTCAGTGATCGTATCAAACGAACGTTTCGTTTTGTTGTATTCAGCCAACGCTTGCTCCTTCTCTTCCTCCGTCTGACAGGCTAACGTCTCCTTGTGCATATCACCGAGGAAATGATTTACCGCATCCAAATAGCGGTTCCAGAAGTTGTTTCGAGCCTCCAAAATTGGCGGACTGTCCGAGTCCGGGCTCTCCGGAAGGCTCTGATCAATATTCTCGTTGGGCTCATTTTCCTCCTCAAAAATTCCTGGGGTTCTGGCTAACCAACGCTGAAATTTGAGAGATAAGTCGTGTTTTTGGGTTAGTGGTTTATGGGAGAGAGTCATTGTGTTTTTAATATTTTTTGGGTAAAATACAGGATTGTCAGCACAAGACTTTAGTAAAATTTTAGTCAAGGGACAGAAAATACGGTACTTTTCAATTCGACAGACCTAAAGCCGCTAGAAGTTAGTTTACCATTTAACTTTCCATAAAAATTTGCAGCGAAACTACAGCATGTTAAGGCTTTTCCCCTTCTAAGAAAACGGTAGTTTAGCGGAGAGCAGTAAAGCCAGTCGACAAATGATCTATAACTAATGCAAACCCTTTCCCAGCTCTGTACAGAAGTCGCACTGATCCGGGACAAAAGCTATGACGTCAAGATAGGCCTTCAAAAAGATTTTTAACAGGACAAAACAAGTCTTGTTGATTCCCGGAGTGAAACATTGGATGCGGTCTTGGCATTCCGCGACGGCATGTTCTCGAAGCATGTGCAAGAACAAGAAGGATAATTTATAATTCAGTTCCGTTCATGTATTGCTTGAACGCAGTTGTTCTATTGTTATTCTCATAAGTTTTATGTTATACATACTCATTTACTGACCTTTTGTATACAACATCTATGTCTTCACAATGGCTACAAATTTTGTGTGTATCGTTTCGATAATCTAACTGGTTTAATCTTCTTTTTCCATACAGGGAACGATTGAACTTCTTTGCAAGAAAAGTGATATCATTTTCTTTTGTGCTTTAAACTTTCCATGATGGCATTATTAAACTTTTTTGCGAAAATTCCTCAATCAATTTCCTAGTGATTAAAATACAAACTACTCCGTGACTTTTGGAATAAATAAGAAAAAATTTACAGTTTTGCAGCATAACTCACACGGTATTAGTCTCAAAACTTACATCAATTAATCTGAAGAGCGAGGGCCCCTCTTCGCTACTTTGTAGTCTATCGATCTCCTTCTCGCCTTCGAAGACTTGTCGATAATTCTGCGCGTTGTATTTTACCCGATTATGCGCTTCAATGCCGAGTTTGTTCTCCAGTAATCGAAATTGTAGACTCTGAAAGCCGGACGAAGAAGTTAGATAACTTCTGAATTCCACAAAATCCAAGGGACTCATCGTTTCCAAGATCAGCATCTGATCCACGAGCAGTTTGAGGATGCGGACGGTGCGCTCCAGCAGACTGACAATCTGAAGGGTCTTCGTTTCATCCACGTATTTATGATCGAGCAGACTCCGAACATGGTCGATATCGTAGATGATCTGCTTGAACCAAAGCTCGTAGGTCTGATGAGTGATGATAAAGAGGTGCTCGTCGGGGACGGCGAACGTCCCGTGTGTCTCGGAACGGAGTTGTTGAGCGTCGAGAACTTTGTCGAGCTAAAAAAAGGAAAGAATTATTTTTTTTGCAAACACAGCCAAATTTGGCGACGGTTCTGTTATATGGTTCTGTTATATTATTATACATAAGTCTAGTAATAAGCAAGGGAAGTGCTTTGACGCAACGTTTCAATTTTTTTTCAAATTCTGCGGACGTTTTCTTTCTAACCATATATACCTTCCAAAAACTTGAGCTCGTGCTTTGCGGAACCAGCCGAAAAAATTAGCTGGCCTTACCGAAACAGCGGTAAAGGACTTTTGCTCATATGTATGTATCTTTGAGATGCCTGCTCGAAAAGATATATTTTTAGCAAATGGCCCTATTAAATACTTCTTGAAACTTTCTTGAAACACCCTGTATATCAGAAAGACAATGTGCAGTAGTATGTCGTATTTTTGACTGCCTTCAATCCGAAGATATTGGTTGGCTTTCTGCCAAGCGCGGGCTAAAAAATCATGCATCCCCTAGAAAACTCTGATCTAAATTCATCCCGGTTTTATGTAATGAAAAACTGAGCTTCGTACGGGCCTTCTCCTCTCAACCGAGCCAATTTTAAAATACGCAAAGGCAAACGTTAGAACCTATGCACATTTACCTGAAGATATTCCTGATAAGAAACTCCATTTCCACTCGCAGCTTTGTTTGCCCCTTTTTGGGATGCCTCATTGTTGTCCTCCGTTTCGCCTTCGTAAAACCGAACTCCATATCCCATTGGGCACGCCATGATTGTTTCGTTGTCAAGCACTGAGATTCTAAGAACAAGCGAACATTAGTTCGTTCATGAAATACGAATACGAAGCGACCTCAAACGACACGTAAAAGAACTTTTTGCACGTAAATCCAAATGGTTTAAGGTTGGGAACGGATGGAATCGTCGATTAATCTCGACAGTGATGGGGATATAATGAATTTAGAGAGGTTATGCAATGGACATGCAATGTTGATAGTTTAATATAGGGTGTCTTTATTGAAGATATAAACTGGCATTTACGAGAAAAGATTAGCCAAAATTGCGATGCTCAAATTTTCAAAAAAAAAAAAAACAAAAAATTAAGGCGAAGCTTTTTTGCAAAATTTCAGAAATTTTTAGCTAGTGTTCTACAGAAAGAATTAGGACTTTGTCTTTGAGATTCATCAAAAATTCGAGGCCTTGAATCAACAACAAGGCCCGGTATTTCAATCTAGAAAAGTCATAGTCAAAAAAAAAATTTTTTTGGTGTCCAACTCCGTCATATTCTATGACCTTTTTATTGCATAAAAAGCGTTGCTTAGGATTGCTTACGTAAAGGCAAGAACGTAAAAATTCTATTATATTTTTTTACATATTCTTTTATCACAAAACTTTACAAGCATATTGTAAAAAAAGCATCTATAAAAAACATACGCAACCCTTCATTTACAACAACCAATAGAACAAACAAAAATTGCTGCTGCCAAACAGATCATAGTGCATCACACCACACAGACCTATCTTGAACTTTCGAATGAAAAGAAAAGATTGTCGACGCAAGCATGTCATTTTAAACCGGTGTTGCAACAGACTGCAAGTCTGCAGTCCCCCTCTCTCCCCATTACAACACCATACAAACTACGAACGAACGCAACACCCCCCGTTGCAGTCCGTCACGCACGGAAGTGGCAACATTCAGCCCGTCGACGGGGATATTTAAGCCGCGTTGAGCGTTTGATGGTCGTCTTGCGGTGGGGTTTTCGTTAATAATTTCCTCGGCGCCCCCTTTTTTCTCCACCAACCCCCCACCCTTCCCATCCTTTGCTTTTTTTCATTACACTTGCTGGGCTCATGATTTTTGGTTTCAACGAAATCATCAGCGTCGCTTCAGAATGTCGGAAATACCATGAATTGTCTCCGTTTCGTCGACGGGATTCCGCCGACGAATTGGCCAGACTCTCCGCTTTTATGAGCACATTTTACACCGGAAATCTGTGCTTCCTTTACAGTAAAATTCAGCGACGAAAAGTATGGAAAAATACGGTCAAATTTCAATATACGAAGATCCTACCGTAATAAATGGAAAGAATAATATTTTTCCAGCAAAACAAACATTTTCGTTGAAATTGAACCCCCCGAGGCGAGGAATTTTTATTGACGAAATTGGAGTTGTAAATGGGTGGAAATGCATCCGTCTGAGCGAAAAATGTATGCATGATTAACGGCCGCGAAATTCCGCAGCCCCTGAAAAGTCATCACTCAATGGCTACGGTACGAACGAAAGGAACGCTGGGCGAATTAAAGACCCGTTCGCGAAATTGAATTTCGTGGGTGTTTTGGAGAACGGTAGCAGGAGAATTTTTGTGTAAAATTCTTCCAAAAGAGGGTTCCGGGTGAATTCAAATTTTTTCGGCGATGATGCTCAAACAGTTTTTGGCGATGGAAATTTTTCTTTTCTGCACTGTAGAAGGCCGACAATAGTACCAAATTCTTTGTCCTGCAAAGGCGCAAGAGTACAGAGCAGTAGAGAAAAAATTCCATGGCCAAAAACGCGTGGCCGAGAATTATAGCCGAAAAATTTTGAATTTACCTGGAACTTCTCTTATTTGAAGCTCAAGCCAAAAATACTGATAGTGTCACTTGACGGCACCATTTTGTTAATTGTCAGGCTATCGGGAAAACAATAAGTACTCTATTGCATCAAAACTCGCATCGCTGCCGAGAAAATGAATTGTGTGGCGGCAAAATCAAATTGCTTGGCGCGGCGACATTGTGCTCACTATTTGTCCGACAGACTGATATTCAAATTGCTAGGCTTACAACAGGCTTTGCCTGAATTTTCTATTGGAAGCATCAAGAAGATATAAGCCAAAAAATAAATCCGGATAAAAAACATAATCATAACACATGTATAGTATGCATAAAAAGGATCGAAATTTATTTTAAACTCCAATTTTCATCAATTGAAAGGATATTCATACATATAATAAACAATATACACTCCCCGGATCAAAACCCACAGATCATTTCAAAAATCCGAACGACATCTTCTGCTCAATGTCCGTCTTCTCCATTGCCTAAATACAACAACTGCCTGCTCTCTTCGTGTAGGCTTACCTTGCAAAACTCCTCGAACGTAATACTCCCATCATAGTTCTTGTCCGCCTCACGCATTGTTCGTGTCGCAATACTCTCGACTTTGGCCTTGCTCACGTTGCCGCCGATCATTCTCTGCAAGCGGAGAGAACACTCGTTATGATGTAAATGAAAGTTCAAGGAGAAATTGGAGAAACAGGATCTTTGTAAGTTGAGAATTGATTGAAAGGGTTGTTTCAAGGTTTACTAAACAAATTGCTTCTGCGGAATGTGCCAGTTTCAAAAACTCTAGTCTTGCATGCACTGTAAATAAGTTCTGGCAAGATAAGTCGTTGAGTTTGGGCAGACAGAAACTGTATCAAAGTTTGGATGCACATATAAGAGGGGTTGCGGGTAAATTCAAAATTTTTTCGGCCATGATGCTCAGCCACGCATTTCGGCCATGCCAACGTTTATGTCTCGCAACTTGCAGAGTTCAAAACAGGATAAGACCTGTTCCGAACGGCACAATGGAAAGAACCATTCGCAAATGGCGTAGTTTTTGCTTATTGTTTGCCCTGTACAGTGCAGAAGAAAAAATTGCCAAGTCCGAAAAACATGACCGATCATCATGGCCGAAGAAAATTTGAATTTTCCCGCAACCCCTCTTGTATGTGCGTGCACATTGAGAGCATTGTTCCTTAATTGAAAGGATTTCGCGAGATTCCAAAATTCATTTTTTTGGTTTACGAAAAAATAATGTGGTAAGGGGGGAGACCAAGGGGAAATTTTTTTAACCTCTAAATCCTCAGAAACTCCTTACCTCCAAAATATGTGTGAACTCGTCTTTTGTTATTGTCCCACTCTTGTTGACATCGTACATTGTAAAAGCAACTGAAATTACATGATTGCAAACAAACTTATTCAAAATTACATCTTAATTTAGTTTCCCTCGAATTCCATGGATGAGGATGGTTCTTGTTGACCGGCCGGAAATGCGACAAAACTTTTACAAAATCCCGAAAGTACAGGCGCTGTTGAGCTGCGCTGAAAATGTAAAAGAGATTGTTATTGAACAAATCTTTGACAATGCAAGATTATAAAGCATGTGTCGTTTACTCAGCGTCAGCAAAGAAGGCCTCAATCAGTCTTGAGCCAAGCGGATTTTTCAAGAGTTCCGGGATGTCTTCAAAGTCTTCTGGAGTCAAAAACAGTTCGTTGAGATTGTCATCTTTGTGCTTGGCCAGCGTTTCAAACCGTTCGTAGAGCATTCGAATGCTCGCTTTTGATACTAAAAATAAGAGCAAATAATTACGACATGAAGTGCTCCGTATTTTACAAACTCTTGATTAAAAACTGGAATATCAAATAAATTTTTTGCTAAAGATTGTGAAAATAGGAATTCTCAGATCTTTGGTGTATAAAAAATTTGGAGTATAAAGCTTTTTTAAACTTGATGCCTTAAAAAGTCGTATCCGAGTTTCTGAGCTCGTGATTTTCAAGAAAAACTTTGCAGTGATACCGCCACATTTTTTAGCCCAAAAATCTTGGGGTCATTTTCCAGAGCTTACGTACTAGGCCTTCCGAAAGGTGGCCGGACTAAAATTGGCGACACGCACTGTGCGAAAACAAAAATTTTCTTTGCAATATGCAATTTCTTACTTTTTGCACCGTGCAGTCTTTTTTTGGCTGTCGCTTGCACCCTGACTTTTTTCGCACAGTGCACACGCCAAAAACTAGTCCGGCGACTTTCTGAAAGGACTATACAGCAACCGTTCAAAAATCAAACCTTCTTTTGCAGAAGCAGAAAAGTTATAAACAAAAAACTTATTGTATCTTTTCCGAAATTCCTCATTTTACTCGCTCTCTCAAAAACAAAATCGGGGCTAAGGTAGTACAGCCCCCCAGTCCAGTTTAGCCCCCCATGACCCAGTACAACCCCCCTCGTCTATTCTGAACCCCAAAATTTATTTCAAAGAATTAATCCAAGTTGTATGGTCCAGCACAAGCCCCCTACGTTTTAGATGAAGCCCCCTACGTTTTAGATCAAGCCACCTACGTTTTAGATGAAGCCCCCTCCGTTTTAGAAAAAGCCCCCTACGTTTTAGGTCAAGCCCCCTACGTTTTAGATCAAACCCCCAACGTAGTAGATCAAACCCCCACTTACATTTTTTGTATTATTCTAATTTGTTTATTATGTGGGGTGTGAAACGGGCAAAACAGTGGGGGTTTGAACTACCTTTCGTGGGGGGCTGAACTACCGAAGCCCCACAAAATCGTATGCTATCTGTGCTGCACAAAACTTGTTGTGTTACAAGAATTCGGCGACTTCAAAATGCATATGCAAAATTTGAAGAAAATGCGGGCGCATCATCCGAAAACGTCCCCTTTTTTGGAGATCTTTTCTGCTTCAAGAAAGTGAAACAGCGCTTTTGCAAATCCTTCAAAAATTCCCCATAAATTCGAAAGTCTCAAAACTCGGTAACCAATAAGTAGGCCCTTTATTTGCCTCTGACTTACATCCACTTTCATGATGAAGCCGGTCCAATCGATCTTTTGGCAGCGACGACGCTTGATTTCCCATTCTTCGGCAATCAAATCGAAAAATAAAAGAAATCTTTTTTGCCGAGAAGAAAAGCACTTATCAGTAACTCATTTCCAACTCCTCTTACGTCTTCTTGCCTCAGGCCAAATTCGCATTTTATGAGTTAATAAAACCTCCGCTGTTGATAAAATCGCCCTCGACGGTTTATTTTTTTATTTCATTCGAAATAAATTGTATGAGATTCAGAATATTGAGAGAAAAAATAAAAAAAAAGAAAAAAGAAAAATTGCTGTCCAATCTCATCAATTCATTTGGGAGGATGTAAGAAACCTGTGAAAATCACAATCAAAATGACCAAATATTTAGAAAAACAGGGAAAACCAGAGGGAGAGAGAAAGAGAGAGAGACGAGGAGAAGAGAGGATCAAAGACATCTAATTTTTGGGGCCATTCGCTTCGAGGAAGGGAGTTTTGGCGCTTTCGCAAAAGACTTGGAGCTGAGACAAACCGGTTTTCTAAAACTCTATTCGACGAGGATTACAATTGAGAGGGGAATTTGGGAAATTTCTTGTCGGAAAAGTCATCATAAAAAATTTTTTGATCTTTTTTTCAAAAATGGCTTTTAAATTGGGTCAAAAAAGATAAAAATCCAATGAATCTATCATTTTTACCGTATTTCTTGGTAGAATTTTGTATATAACTCTCCTAAAATACCCAAAAAATTTCATAAATCTCAAAAAAATTTTCCCAAATTCCCCCCTCAACTTCAAAAAAATAAAATATTTTGTAGACTCTGATTGAACAACATCGAAATAAAACTGTATTATATTTGCGTCTCGCTAAAAACAATGTGCTACCGTTACAACTGCGGCGCGACTAGTGGTCACTACTCATCTAATGCTCACAATTATTTCTTTCGTATGGCCGGCGTCGACTGCTGCGAGCCGGCGGGCGTGTTGGCGCGGCTCGACTGCGACGGCGCGTGACTACCGCCGCCGGCGAAGAACAGGTCCGGCTTGGTCTGGTGACACATGACGCCGGGCCCGCCGAGCGGCGGCTGCCACATCTCGTAGCCCTCCTTGGACAACTCGTCGCGGATCATGTTGAGCACGGTTTGGGATGTATCTGAATGCGGGATGGGTTAGAATTATAAGCAATTTTGGCACTTATATTAATGCAAGAAATGTCATAAACTTTTGATTATATAACGATGCTGTACGCTGCATGAAGCCTATGATTTCTATAGCCCTTTTTAAGTTAAAAACTTGTTTCTTTGAAGCAATTTTTTACTATATGTAGGCTTGTTTTGCCCCAATTTAAGCTGGGAAAAAGACCGAAGCATACGTTCAAACATAAAAATTCGCATATGTTTTTGTCCTAAAACACAAATTTGAAGACTAAAATAAACCTCTAAAACGTCCATTTTGAAGTTTTCACCAACTTTTCGTTCAAAGAAAACATGGCCTACCTGGTTTCAAGAAGGCGAAAACACTGCCGCCTCCACCAGCGCCGGTCATTTTGGGATGAATGCCATATCGTCCTAGCAATGTACAGATCTGATCCACCTTGGCATGGCCTACGCCCAGCGCGATCAGAAGTTGATTATTGATTCGACAGAGGTCCTAAAACAACGCCATCAACACCATCCGAATACAAACAAAATCCGACAAGTCGAACGATTGTTGTGGACGGTTATAACGTTACCACATCAAAAGCATGAACCGGTTAGGCAAAAAATCGCTCAATTCGCACATACATTCAACTTGGAGAAGGTGTGCTGAAGCTCGCGCGCTTCGGCCGACAGTTTCGGGTCCTGAGAGGAGGAGCTGATGGCGGAGGCGGTGCTGCCGCGCTTCCCGCCCGCCGCGTACGACGACAAGCTGGAGGAGCGGCCGCCAATCGTAATCGGCTAAAAGTTAAGAGGGTAACGTGTCAGTGGATTATAGTGGAAGGTTTCAAGCCGGAGAGGGCGGCCTTGCGGCGACAGTCAGCGACATGACATTGGACGAGAGGTTCTCAAAGCGTGTGCTACGACAGAAGGGGACGTTTTACCGCCGATAACAACGTATAGAATGACGCCGAATATCGCTGACTGTCTCGCAAAAGCACGTATGTTACGGATCTCAACAAACAGACTCTCCAGTGCAATCAAAACGACAGCATTTTTCGGAAATGGATAGATAGGAGGACAGAGGAGGTACACTGTTGGCGCAACCTACCTGTAAACTGTGATGCTCGGCCTCCGTAGCAAAAGACGGAGTCAGTGTGGCCGAACGGCCGCCGTTCTCCACAATTTGGGAGCCGTTTTCGTCGGGCAACGGCCTTTGTAGGATTCGCGCGGCTTCCTGGGAAATTGCATCGATCGATTCGAGGATTCCATCGATGACTTTGGGGAACTAAAAGCGAGAATGAAGGAATGAGGAGGCCGAACTTACTTTCTTGAAGCGATCTCGGACTGTTTGAACTAATCTAGTGGTATTCCTTTCGACTCGCGAGTTCACAAGGATCACTTTAAGGTCAGGCACACTGAAAAAAGACATTTCAATTGTTTTAAAATCATCATATCGCCCGCCATTTGCAACAACAGCAAATTCCGAGCAAACAAGCACCTACTTTTGCAGGTTCTCGATGCGTTTCGTGGGTTTGTACAGCGCCAGCCCACCGTAGGTGCAGATGGCCGCATCCAGTCCCGACGCGCGCCCATGAATCAAGCTCTCCGCCGCCGCCGACCATTTGCGGATCATGTCCAGGTGGACCTCGTCCCAGGTCAGCGAGCCCTCGTCATCCACCTGAATGGAGGGCGGTGGAATAAGGCCGGCGGTTTGCAGCAACGCTGTGGCAATACATACGCAAAATGCTCCTAGAATCGCAGGCCATTCAATTTTGAGTTTTATAATCAATTTTTTGCAAGGCAAAATGCCCATAATATGCCCTCAGGGTCCAAAAAAATCTCGCCAACTCACCTGATGAACCCAGACCAACGCAGGCCGGCAGTTTAAATCGCACGGTGCATTTGACCGCGAGCAAATCCCTGAAAACGAACGGATTAATCTCCTGCCCCGAAGGCCGGATGCCTCATCAATGCAGCCCCAACACAGGAAAGGTTAGAAACCACAAACGAAAAAGAGTATCGGAAATGCGAAGGAAAAAGAGTGTAAAGCCGGCGGGGGGACTGGTCTCGGTTAACGGAACAACAAAGAAAACGGGGAAGAAGATTAGGGCTGATGGTTCGTACGAGAAAATACGGCACACTAAACTGCGAAAAAAGACCAACTTTGTCTTGGGATCAGTGAGTTCACAGGGGAAAGGTGTAGAATCCGGTCCATCGACCAACTCCAGGGCCCTAAATGCACCAAATACAAAGTTCGTTATGGGAAACTTTATATAAAGCATCCTAGGCGGCCAAATACCGAGAAAATGTTAGAATAACCGGTTGAAAAATGGGCTTCTGGCCGTTGAATTTTGCTGTTTTGCTGTCTTCCTTACTGCGACAACCTTCGACTAGTGCAAAAATAGACGACCACCGGAACAGCGGTGCAGGGGAGAATGCGAGGAATGTGCGGGGGCTTACCGTTTTCGTTGAACAATTCCAATGAGCAAATACCAAAATGCCAAGATGGCCAAGTGTTGAACACCGCATTGATCTTCGCATGCACCCGACAGTTTCCGCGCAATCGGGACGATCAGCTCCAACGATGGGGGACCGTCGTCGGTGACTGGACATTCGGCTAAAAGAACGGGATTTTGAGGACTGTTATGAGGGCCAAGTGGCTTCAAAAAAGTGGGCAGATAAGATACAGTACAGTCTATGTACAACAAACTAAGAGCAACGAAAATTTGTAATAGAAAAATTTTGTTGTACAGCTTTTAATTTTGACATAAATCTACCCTTATGAAAGTCTTAAATTCTTTGCTATAGACAGGTCTTGTTGCATGGGAGTTTACTGCACAGAGGTGTCATTATAGAAAGCCTTTAAACTCACCCGCCAAGCGTTCGCCGGCCTTGAGTAAATCCTTTAACATCCACGTCCGCTCAACTTGTAGATCAGGCAATGAGAGGTATATTCGTCCATCGGCCGAGGTAAACAGTGAGACATATGTCCTAAGATCAATCGAGCCGGCAATGGCAGTCTGAAATCGTGATTTAACTTTACCATCACATTATTTCTCTATCTTAAAGCCCGATCTTCTTTATTTTAAGGTCCAAATTAGGACAAAAAAGAGAGTTATTTGATGCTGAAGCCGATAAAAGGCCGAGTTTGGTGTCTCGATTACTCACTTTTCCATAAACAACAGCATGCTCGCCGAACAGGATGATCTTGCCCGGCGCACTAATGTACAGGCCTCCCGAGGCACTTGAAAGCGATCGCATGGGAGAGGCGTTTGTGGTGGCCAAATGATTTGTGATAACGTGCGATGAGGAGGATGAGGCGGACGGGGAATCTTCCACTGCAATGATTTCTGTATTACCTAGGTTTTTATATCCATTTTTTATCTTGAAATATTTTGTTTGCTTTCCAAAGAGAATTAACGAATAGATTTATCGTATTTTGCCCCATTTTAAAGCTAACAGGATGCGTACCCCAAGTACGACGCTCAGATTTTTTGATGAAACTTGGCTCAAAATTAGAGCCTCTTTTTAAGATCTAGACGAGAATTCTAGCTTTTGCTTTGTAGAAACGACTGAGATTTTTTGATCAAAAATTGGCAAAAAGTGTGACAATTTTTTTGCAAATTTTGGAATTAAAAGTTTCTTGCCTATTTCTACCGCACACAGCAAAGTTTCCACGCAAAAATAATTTTTTTCCACCTGACTGGCAAAGATATGGCCAAAAATAGTTTTTTTTTCTCTGACCTCTCTCCGTGTTTTACGTACCCTCTCGGCGGCAAAGACCGTTCAATATCTCGGTTGCTCCTGCAAAGCGCGAGCAAAAACTTTCAGGAATTGGCATGCGGCCTATACCAAAGATGTAGACAAAATTTAAAGAAAATCTGGATGTTGCATTTGGGCTACTTCCCTAGTAAATTTTCTTGCATTTTTTATTTTTTTCAAACATTTTCCTTCCATTTGCAAGCCTTTCCACCCATGTTCTTGTCAAATTCCCCCATTTTGCGAAACCCGACACCCTGTGAATTTACATGATCCCTAGAGCTTGTGCATCACCCCTTGTTTCGAAAAGTGCTAGTAGCACTTTTACGCTTCTTTATTTTTGATCCTTGAAAAGCGGGAGTCAAGTCGCACTTGATCAGTTTGTTTGGACAAATCAAAAAAGTATCAGAAAAACTCATAAATTTGACGCGATCAAGCGGATTGTAAAATAAATAAAAGCGGAGAGTAAAGCGGAATTAAGCGTCTCAGCCGGGGGATAGTAAAATTTGAGTACTACCTTATGTCTGTAGGCGGAAATTACGACCTAAGAAATCTTGATGACGCCTTGTTGGATTTTAAAATTTATTTTGAGATTTTGTGGGGCAGAAATTAGTTGTGTTAAGTGACTAAACTAGTATAGTTTTTGCATATGATTTTTTAATGCATGCAAAGTTGCAGTACGTCAAGAAATATTCAAATCCAGCGAGAAATCAGCAAGAATAGGAGAAAAAATGGGGGAAAAATGAAAGTTTTTGTAAGATCCACAACGAAAAAATGTGTAAAATATGGAAATCTATAAATGTCATCTTCCCAATAAACATAGCAAATCAAAGGTAATATCTTTGGGGCAGATATAAATCACAGAAATTATCAAATTTAACCCAAAAATTTTCATAAATTTCAAAAAAAAATTTTTAATTTTCTAAAATCACCCCGTTAATTTCAATCTCAAAAACCCTTCCAAAATTCCTCAAACAACAGTGACAACACTCAAATCAACTGCTGGTTTGAACTTCAATCTTATTATTTGTAAAAACATCTCAAACCACTTATGACCGTTGTGATTCATGTTCCGCAAGAAGCGTCTTCGGAACAGTCTAAAAAATGCGTCACTAAATATTCAAGCGAATGATTAAGGATCCTAGCAGATTCTCAAAGTGTGCCCCGTAAAAGTGAGCCGTTCAAAAAGGGTTTTATGAGGGCTTCTAATAGGATGCACATGCCAGGGTGACATGATAAAGTCTAGGCCGGATGTTTGGAAACATTGCAAGCTTTTTTGAACAAGAATAAAAGATGGAATAAGCAGTAGTAGCAATAGAAAATGTATCGCAATTTTGGGCAGTTGGGATCTATCTAAAATACGTTGAAAGATTCGGAGACTCAGAAAACGATGATTTTTCGATTTTTCAAGCCCCTGCTTATTTTCCATACAAGGGAGTCACCTCAACGCTCAGGTTTTCTTTAAATTTTGCACATACGTAGGATATGGACTAAATATCAATTCCTAAAAGTTTTAGCTTGCGCTTTCCGAGGGCAGCCGAGATCTTCGGCGGTCTTTGCGGCCGAGAGAGTACACACAACGCTGAGAGCGGTCTCAGAAAAAACCACTTTTGGGCCATATCTTTGCAAGTTTTGTGTGGAAAGAGTCGATTTTATGTGATAAGACTTCCCTCTACGGTAGTAATAGGTATGAAATTTTGCATGGTAAAATTAGCAAAACACTGTAATTTTTATACTAAATTCGGATCTAAAAGCGTGAAAAAAAATTATCTAAATTTGTGCCAAGATTGATCAAAATCTGAACGTTGCAACTGGTTACTTTCCCTATTAGTTTACAAGTTGAACAGCTCAACAAAAACATGCCATTCTCGAACCCAAAACATATTAACCCAAACCCAAAAAAATTAAAAATTTAGTAACTCACCTCCGACCATTATTGTAGTCTTAAGGCTGTCTAAGGCAATTTGGAAGTGTGAGTGCGGCACTAAATACGACTAGCAGACCTCGACGATCGTCTTCGTTTATTGCACGCTGCAGAGGGAGAGGGGGGTTGCGTTCGGCGGAGAGGAAGAAAGACTTTGTGTGTTCTGCGAAAAGTTGTTGGCCACAACAATGTACAGGAAGAAAGGGCGTGGAAGAGACACTGATCCGCACACGCTCGCTGGCTCTCTTCTCTGCTCTTCGCTTTCGTTTTTCAGTTTTGTAGAAATTCAGGTGAGTGTGGGTCGCTCGAGGAGGTGGGGGCTCCGCCCTGTGTTGTCGTCACTTGCGTCGCTTCAACATTCGCCTCGGCGGAGCATTTGGAGGGTCGGCGAAGGGCCTTGGCGCGCGATTCGGGGCGAAAAGGTGATGGAGTGCCGTTCTGAAAGTTTGGTGGTTTATTATTTCGATTTCTGAGTGGTATATCGTATGATTCCGCGGAAATATGGGCAAAATATAAGCGATAACGTCTAGAAAAGGGGTCTACAAAAGTCGCGGTTCTTTAACAGTTATCCACGCATCACAAAAATCAAGAATTTGAGCCAACCTTCACCTCTAACACCTTCAAAATCTGTTCATCCGTTCCGTGTTCGGGGCGCTTTTTAACCTCTCAAAGATCCCCAATAATGGGCTGAGGCTGGACGGGAAGACCGTACAGAACAATACTGGCTTCCAAATTCCAGCCCGACCCCGCCGTTTTCGCCCGCCGTCCTTCCACTTGAGAAGCACTTGGGGCGGTTGCGCCGCCGCGAAAAGCCACGGATAATGTAACCTGAAGGCTTTCCGCCGCTTTTTGCCTGGGAAACGGCTTGTTAACCTCGACGCTTCTCGTCGTCGTCGTCCTCCCCGAAGGAAGAAGATCGTGCCGGAGGTTCGAGTTGAGTGGGGTTGGAGGAGTTGTTACGGTCGGCTGCGTGAGAAGGCGCCAACCTTTCCGCCGTTTCTTTCCGTTTTTTCCGCCGCCGGCGAGAGGAGGGATCGAACCCGGGGGCCTCCTTGGAAACTGCGCCCCCGGCCCCTTCAAGGCCCCTTCTCGACCGAAACTCTCGCTTTTCCGCAAGAAAAAACGAAGTGAAAACATTGTGTCTGCGGGGCCGCAGGAACCGCAGTTTATCGCGAGCAAAAAAAATAGCAAATTTATTCAGGCCGTTTATTGCGTTTCGGAGGTGTTCGTTTGAACTACGCGGACAAGCGATGATTTATGACGTCGACTGTGGAAAAGGATTAGGGCTGCGGCAGGAATGCGGGTGGTCGAGAAAATACGTCTGTCGGAAAAATAATGAGCAAAATGTCGCTGTGTCGGAAAAAAATTTCGCTGAACTGAAAAGCAATTTGGTTTTGCCTCGACACAATTCATTTTCCCGGTGGCGATGCGATTTTCGATACGACAGAGAGTTCATTATTTTCCCGACAAACTGATAATAGAAAAATTTTTTTTTGAAATGTCATCGTCCAATTTTTTTTCAAAATTTGATTACATACTCCTCACAGACTTTTTATTCAATCTACAAAAGTTGTGAGCCCCGATTTACAAAATCAGCGGCAGTTTTTAGACGCATCTAGTTTTTGGTGGTTTTTTACAACTTTCTGAGTAAAAATTTCTCGCAATTTCTGCAAAGCGCGATCTAAAAATCCTGTCGTTTCAATGAAAAAATTGCATCCGAAAAATTTATTCAAGATCTCGGGGTCTTTTCCTTTCCAATAAAATGCTCTACACATATTATCTTTTTTCCAACGGCCTTCTCCCAAAAATATTGGCCCAGGGACGGAGGAAAAGTAAACGCAACTTTCCGAATATTTATAGGCTTGGGTATCGGCTTTCCGCTTTCGCAAATTCAAGGCACTGCGGCGCTTCGCAGATCATGCGGCCCTAACTTTGAACTCTCAATTCTGGTAAGCTGAGACGCGGTTCGCAAACATGCGCGGATCTAGGGGAATATTCAGGAAAAGATCAAGTTTGTCGTTTGGGGATGCGCGGAATTGGTGTTACCGTAATTCGAATGGACTTGTAATTTGTTAAATTATGGGAGAATAGTTGAAAAATAAAAAATCAAAAAAATCGTCCAGAATATTGATTACTCAGTAAAATCAAGCGGTATAATCATTTATAAAAAACCAAAAATGTAACACTTGCTGCTAAATCCCCAAGAACATCAAAACAAACCCCAAAACCATCAAAAAGCACAAGAAACAGGCAAATTCCTAATTACTCAGTAAAGTCAAATGATTGTAGCAAGAAAACAGAGACATCAAATGGCTTGACAAAACAGTGCGTAATTGAATTTCGATCCGAGAGAATCGGGAGGGAAGAAACGGGGGGAACGCGTGAGAATCAATTAAAATCACAATGTTTTTCTACGTCATCAGCCGCAATGAATGGACCTCTGCAACTGACTAACAACATAAATGAAAATGGAAGCGTCTATAATACAAAATATACGTCTTTAAAAGGGCATTAAAGACTAAATCCAATGATTTGACGGAAAATTTTTTCATCGTATAAAATGTCGCCTGGCGGAAATTAGAATCTAGAAACAGGGTGAATAAATGCTAAAAGGTATTCGTGCGTGGTATTCAATATTTTCTGCGTTACGCCATAGGCACAAAGTATAAAAATTTACCTCAAAGCGGTCAATAAAAACAGCCAAACTCTAAACTACACCTAATACCCGGCAAACAAAACTTCGAAGCGGCTAATCCTACCAGAAATTATGTACATTTTTCCCTCATTTCCTAACATTAACTATTCACACTTTTCGAATATTAGATTACCCAAATTCAGGAATAAATACGCGGGTTTGAGCTGAAAAGCCATGCGAAACATTGAATATGTGTGGCATAAATGTAAAAATAGGTGCAGAAAAGTGTTGCCATGAGTTTTAAAATCCAATAAAAAGCGGGTGGGAAGAGGGAAGAAAGGGTTTGCGAGAAAATGTTGCAAAATGTTTGAGCCGAAAAGGTCAGAGCAAAAAGTGATTGTTGTAACGTCTACATGTCTCAAAAATTTGGAAAGTTTTAGCCGAATTTATCATCATGACGGGTGTATAGAATTGGCAGTTTTAAGTCATCGTTGGCTATCGTTTTTCGGTGGCTTCAAAAAGAAAAAAATATATATCTGCCAAATTTTGGCGTTCTAAAAAAAATTGTCCTAGTAGTACATACAACAATCATGATGACCAATTATCTCGTTTTCTAAGACTCCACGGTATCGTGAGACTAAAACAAGGCCAACAAAAAATATTGCAGACCCCAAAATCACCAAAAAAAATTTCAAAAAACCCTCTTCATGTCCCCAATATTCCTTTCCCGATATCCGTGTCCTTTCATAAAGCCCATAACGATCAATGACTTCCCCGCGCCCCGCCTCGCCCGCAAAACAAAAAAAAGTGTAAAACAAATTGAAATTGGCAAGACAGGGAGGAAATTGAGAGCCCAAATTTGCGGTGGCACCAAAGAACCCCCCTCCCTCGCCGCCCCAAAATCACTAAAAATCCCCGGCCACGAAAAAATAATTGGAAAAGAGCGTCAAACCGCGAGGGGCCGGTGCAAAAAACTTGTACGCCGCGGCGGAATGCTCGTCGTCGAAGGGAGAAGACGAAGAAGAAGGGAGAAGGGAGAAGAAGAGTTGTGGCGCGGAATCTCGGGGATGGCCCGTCCGTCCGCCGCCGCGGCCCCGCATCGGTTTTTTGCCGCGAACAGCGCGTCGTCGGGATTTTCGTTTCGTGTTTTTGCTCTGCTCGTTTCGTCGTGCGGCCGCGGGGCCACGGAAGAAACACTAAGGCCGGCTTCCGAATCTGCCCCCATCTTCTCCTTTTTTTCCGCCGTCCCCATCTTCCATTCTATCCCCCCGAAGCGTCTTCGCTTCCTCGCTTTTTTTGTGGGGGGATTCGTGAATTCCTCGCCCCATTTTTAGTCCCCAATCCTCCTCATCCGCGTGCATGTACAAACTCGGCGCTCCACTTCTTTCGCTCTTCGCTTCTTCAGTTTGTCTTTTGCGTTTTTTCTTTCGTTCAGCCTATGCCCTCCGGGATTTCCGCCAACGGCGCGCCCGAACGAAGATTCCCACATGAATTCGATTTCCGGCACACAAAAGATGGGAGAACGCGTCCCGCGAATGTCAAAACACGCCACTGATGGGTCCACTGGATTGGGTCATTATGTAAATCTGCGCGCCGCAAACAGGCCTTGTGGAATGCGCGGAAAACGTAGAGCCGGCTGGTACGCGGAACGTCGGAAAATCTCGGCCAAACAACAACAACACCGCCGCCGTCAACACAACTCGTTACCCCTTGACTATGCTATTTTTAACCCCGCATATAAAATGCATGTAACCGGCATGGAACAGGCCAGTAAACCCCATCCATGCCCTTCCGATTAGCGGCCCGAAATAAAAACGCACTCAAATACCCATTAAAACATAATGTTATAAGCGGAAAAAAAAAGAGTAATGATCTAGACCTCACATCAAATTTTGATATCAATAAAACGCCAGAAAAAAGCACGGCAAAGGCGTTTGCCGAAGACGGAATTCGATAGGACCCCGTAAAAGTAAGGAGATTTTATATCCGCAAAAAGGTCGAAACCTCTTCGCTTCACGTGCCCGACGAACTTTGGAACGAGCGGGGAGTTCGAGAGGAGCGGGTGTATCGTATTTTGATACATGTATAAAATATACATGAATAGAACGACTGCGTGACAAAATGCAAGACCAATAAATCTCGTATATACACAAGGGAAGAGCCCACAAGTGCGACGCTCGGAGTTTGGAAACTGGGCCAAGATTTACATAGAGTTTTTGCAAGAGATACGCCAGATTTCTATCAGTCTGTCAGGAAAATAGTGAGCGCTATATCGCAGCGTAAATCGCATGGCCGCCGAGTAAATGAATTGTCTCGCAACAGAGGCAAATTGCTGTTCACTTCAGCGGCGCAATTGGCGCAGTGATATTTTGCTCATTATTTTCTCGACAGAATGATGTCTAACAAGCCGGAAAAAATAAAATTTTGATCCTTCCCAGGATATTTCTTTGACGTATTTTTCATAAAAAAATCAAAAAATGAGTCTGTCGGGAAAATAATGTGGATTCGTAGCGCCTTAAAATAGGTCATCATTGCGTTGCGACCGCTAGCCGAGGCTGGAGATTTGGTGAGCCACAACGACGAGGCGAGACATTTTATAGCGATAAATCCACATTACCAGTCTGTCGGGAAAATAATGAACACAATGTCGCTGCACCAATCGCGTCGCTGAAGTTAAAAGCAATTTGATTTTGCCGCGACACAATCTCATTTTATCGGCAGCAAGGCGATTTTTAATGTGACAGAGGGCTCACTATTTTCCCGACAATCCAATAGACCAATGCACAAAGCCAAGACCACTTCAACACCTCCAGAGCAAATTCCTTAAAGATATACCCAAAACTCAACGAAATTTCCAGTACAGAAGCGCAATCGCGCTCAACGCGTGACGCAAACTCCTTTTCAAACAAAAACACGGCCCAACCGCTCGTCCTTTGTAGCGGGCGATTAATCGAATTAGAAAAACAAGACAACGTACAATGGAGCAATTAGATTAGGCCACCACGATTATAACGTCGCCGGGCCGCCAAATCTCCGAAAGTGGCTCCATTTGGTGGGCCCTTTTGGCGGGCTGGATTTGTATTCCAAGCGGGTAATCGACTTTTAAATGTTACACCGAGCGTTTAATTACCGTGAAGCTTGGAAGTAGACAAAAGCTGCAAAGGCTTGAATTTGAAATTTTAAAAGGGTAAAGAGTGGAGGAAAGTGTTTTTAAATTGTCATAGTGGCTGAAGAAAGTGGTAAGGTCATGGTGAAAGTATGTGTGGATGAAAAACGGAGGTTGGAAAGCTTTTTCAAAGGTTTTCAGGTGGCATTTTGCAAATGATGACAAAAAAATTATAATCAACCATTAACCACAACAAAATTTAAAAAAGTTGCACAAAAATAGGGATTTAGAAAGAAACAAATTTAAAATACGTCATAGTCCCTAATGTCTAGAAACTCATCCCTGAAAATGACCAAAACTTCTATCAGTCTGTCGGGAAAATTATGAGCACAACGTCGCTGCGCCAGTCGCGTTGCTGAAGTGAAAATAAATTCGATTTTTTGCGACACTATCCATTTTCTCGGCCGCCACACGATTTTCGCTGCGACAGGGCGCTCACTATTTTCCCGACAGACTGATACAAAGCGAAAAGTTTTACCGTAATTTCCGACCAAAAAACATCTCAGAATTAGTTATTCAGACGGCAAATCCACCCTCAAACCCAAATCCAGAAAGTTCTTGGCCAAAAATTTTGGGGGCAATGTGGGGGATTGAGACGGCCGAAGGGGTTTCTTTTTCTGCCCCAAAGGCTTCCTTAGAGTTCGAAATAAATTCGATATAAATTTAGAAATCCTTGGGAACAAGCTGAAAGCTTCAAAATTGTCAAGAACAAAGCGAAGATCAGCAAAAAGTAGTGTCATCAAAAGTTAAAAAGGGAGTAAACACTCTTTAGCCTCTTAATCCGCCGTTTTGTTGTGCTAGTTTTCTAAAGAAAATCGTCTGGCTTTCGGCGAGTTGTAGGAGAAATATCAATTTCAAAATACAGAAAACGTATTTTTGAGGGTAATAGAATTGAGAATATAGCAATTCTAACGTCCTTTGCGGCGAAAAAGGTCAAATTTATTAACTTTTTTTAATTGTTGGAAAACTAAAAGATATAAAAATTGATGCCAAGATGGTAGAAATAAAAAATAAAATTTTTTTACAAATTCCGAAGTAATCATGACACATTTTTGATGAAAAATAAAAATTAAATTTTGAAAATATTTGCTTGAGATTTTGCGACGCCAAAAGCACTCAAATCTCGTCGAGATGCGTCCCAAAACAGAGATCCCATCTCGGATATTCAGCCAAAAAAAAAAACAATACAAATCCGGCGGCGGCAAAGAGCGCACAAAAGCGGCGGCAAAACATTGGGCGCGAAAATTGGACGACCTTTTTCCGGCACGGTTTCCCGCAAACGCCTCGGGAAAATCTGGGAAAAGCTTGTTCCCGCAAAGCAACACACGCAAAAAAAACCAACTCTACTTTCGTCTTCATTTTCGCTCTCTCACTCTCTTTTCGGGCCGAGGAAAACGTACTCCACATTCCACCACACACACGCTCCAACTCTCTCTCTCTCGCTCTTCTTCCGAAGGCCGCTTTGGGCCGCTGTCCCGGACCCGTCCGGCTTTCCCAAGTCCCCCCAAACACACACAACACACACAGCGAAAGGGGCTTGTGACGTCATCACGCCTCCTCTGAATGAATGCACAGGTTGGTGCGGGGCCGCTTCAGAAGGCGCGTCGGACGTGGGGATAAGAGTTTGAAGGACGGAAATCCCTGCATAACGAATGGACGAGCGCTTTAGGGAAGTGTTAAGCAAGTGCTGTAGGTAGTAGGATCTTGGTGCGAGAATATTGAAAAAGAAATTTTATGTCGTCCGGTGCGAAAAGAATTCGTTTTACACTAATTTTAGTCCGAAAAATGTACGAAATTTGGAGAAATAGTCTAATGAGGTCGATTTGTTCCTTGAAACACTAATTTGGCAATTATTTAAGCTTCGTTTTCTCCAATTCCCCTCAAAAAGCTGCAAAAAGGTCAAGATTTACTCGATATTTCATCTAGCAAGAAATCCTAGCGGTCTTCCAGCATCTTTCCAGGCAAATTACTCGACAAAAGAATCAACTTAAAATTATTACCTTGAAATTCCGCTACCCTCAAAAAACACAAAAATCCCCCTCCAAAGTAGTCGAAAAAGTTGGCACGATCTCCCCAACACTCCATCAGACGTCGTATACATCTTCGTCGGCGGCCGAAACTCGAAACCTTTTCGGCCCTCGGGGGAAAAGTGATCTGCCCCGTTTCAGCCTTTTTTTCGCCAACCAAAGAACGGAAAGAAGAAGTAGAAGAACGACAAAAAGAGTGGAAAAGGGCCGTCGGGATATAAAAGCCTCTTAAATCCGGGGTTCGCGTTACGTGAAGGCCGAGGCAGAGAGCGGCCGTGCGGGCTTTCCGTGATCCGGCCCGACTAGGGTTTCCATTCAAGGGGTGCTCGGGATTCCGGAGGATAGTGGGGCTGGATTTGGAAGTGTGGAGGTCAGGGCTGTAGTCTGGGCTGTTTTTAATGCGCTGTTCTGTACAATACAATACGGTTTAACGGCAGTAATTAGTTAAAACTCTAAAAAAATCGCAAAAATGGGTTTTTTTCAGTAAACACCTGCCATAATTTAGCAAATCTTAGTCTGATCTCGATAGAAACCATATAAGCAGAAACTGGGAAGAATAATTCGTCAATATAGACCTATTAGGTTTAAAATACGATCATTCCAAGAACCATAAAACGTCGTTTTCACATACAAACCGCCTTTTTTGTTGCAAAATCAAGAAAATTTTTAAAACACCTTCCTTGCTACTATTATTAGAAGCAAAATTGCGTTATCAATAGGACAAAAATACCCCTCAAAAGAAACAAGTATCATCTTACATCCCAAACTGCTCAAAAATCCCCCAAAATTAACTGAAACCCCCTTGAGAACGCAATTTTTTTCTTTCCTCTTGCAAATTCACGCTCAACATGCAAAAAGAAAAGCCAGAGATGGCTGGAGAATGCCACTCAAATGACGCAAATTCTGCGCCGAAATTGCATAAACTCAAGTATATATTGCTGTAGCCCATCAAATGTCACGTCAACAGCAAACGTAGCCGGGGGAATTAAACAACATTCTCCGAAAAACTTTGAAAAACATGACAAAACTGTAGTCGGGATCGTCGTATTGTGACAACGACAGATTTCCAGATTTTCTTGGACCAGTTTCCCCTAATCTTTAAGCTATTTCGAGCTATTTTTGAGCCGTTTTCAAAACTTTTAATTCTATTGTAAACACTTTGAAAGAGCAGCCGTAATTAATGTACGTCGGCAAAAAAGCGCCGATTACACCTGGCCGCCCATTACAGCCGCAAATCCCCAGCGGGTAAATGAGAGGGAGGACCGGACAAATCCCTTTCATTGCATGCCCCCGAGGCATTTTCGTGCTCCACCCTCACCTGCCGACGACCCCGAAAAAGACCGGAGGGAGTTGAATTCGTCCTGTGTTGTAAAAGGACACAATTACATATTATGTAAAGAGAATACAAAAAAAGTTTTAAGAATGGGATGCGCGTTGAAAAAGGGCACCACAAGCCACCATGAAAGTAGTTTAACATGTACAACACTTGTAGGAAAACACATTTAGAAGCGGCGGTTTACCCGTTACTGTGAGTTCAATTAGGCTAAGAAAGTTGTAATAAAAGTACAGCGACGTCCCGCCTAATAAATTCAAAATAAAAATTGCACAAGGTTAATTCACCGTACTCCAAGAAACTATTACCATGAGGTTTGCAGAAGCAAATCGATCTTTGGCATCAAATCTTTCCCATAAAAAAACAAGAATTACCGCTCAAAATTATCAATAATTTTCATAGTAAGTTCATAGTCGTATGTTTCTGATCAAGCCCTTGTTTTAGCGGCATCTTGTCCTTTTTTCATTGTCTAAAATGGATAGATTCGTAAAAATTCCGGAAGTTTCTGGGCAGGACAAGCTTATTTGTAGAGAATACGCTTCCTAGCTCCATAGACAGAGTAGATACACAAAAATTTTTAAAAATCCAAACATCAAAATTAAATCGCTTCCTGTAAAAATGGCCTGCCAAAAACCCAACCTCGACTATAAGCATCACGCTTTTCTTCCCTAGAAAATTCTCAACGCACACATTTTACGGCACAGTCAGCTCTCTGTAGAACAAGTCGCAGGATAACAAAAAACTTATTCGCTGTATGACAGCTTCGTTGTACAAAGGCCCATTTAGTTCTAAAATTGACTCTTAAATAAAACCTATGAAATCGCTCGTTATAAGGCTATTTCGTTTTACAGGAGTGCTTTATACAGGTCTTGTATTTATATTATAACAGTCAAAAGCCTACTCTCATTTGCCCACTGTTTCAAGATCTTAAAAAGAGTTTTGCTTGCCCAAACGCCTGTTTATCTTTTTTTATCCAGAATTCTTATACACCTCCAATTTTCACGGTTCAAAGCGCCTATTTACTTTTACCTCCCCCACCCTCGCTCTTCCAAACATTATCATTTCAAATTTTTCTTCCGGCTTTCCGTTCGCTGCCTTTTAAAAAACGATCCGAAAATGACAAATTGCTTGAGGCCCATTTTCGGCCCTTTATCTGATCGACTCCTTCTACATACTCTCTTCTTCAAAAGAAAAAATGTCTTCTAAGCTTGTCATAAAAATAAAAAACCTTAAATTTGTTTACTATTTGAGGGTGAGAGGTGCAGGATAAAGGTGATAAAAAGTTGAGATTGGAAGATCTATGGGGATAATAAAGAAAAGAAGAGATCTAAAAAATACAAATAAAAGATTTGGCAATAAAGCTTGTCGCTGTCTGTATACACAGAAGATGACATTCAGAATAGAAAATTGGATTTTTATGTCATCATGAGAAAAGGAGAAATTTGCAAGTTATTACAGTGAAGGACCCGATCCAGTGGCAAAAAACGTACCATTTTGCATCCGGGAAGAATAAAAAATGTGGCAAAATGCCTCCCGCTCCAAGTGAAAAAAAAAACTTCTTTTTGAATTCCCTCACAAAAAGAGAGGGCGCGCTTTTGAAATCGGAGTTTTTTCACTTGGAGAGGGAAGTATTTTGCCACATTTTTTATGCTTCCCGGATGCAAAATGGTACGTTTTTTTCCACTGGATCAGGTCCCCCACTGTAGCTATTTACGTCCAAAACACGCGGCTACTTATGACCTCCTACAAAAATTGTTCAAATACAGGGAAGCTCAGTGATCAACGAATTACACAAAACTAAAAAAAATATTTGTTTTAGAAAACTTTTTTTCGGAGAACGTCCAAATTGGTCTAAAATGGGCCCTAGGGACTATAAATATTGTTTTTTATAGAATGGCTCGTTTTACGGGAGATTTTATACTGTTATTAAAAATTGTCAACCAGATCTCTAGGAATCGTTGAAACCTGCTTAAAATTCCTTTGTCACATCCTTTGCCGACGAGAAATAACGCAAAATGCATAGAGCGGCCTAAAAACACTTTTTTTCGTATCTCTGCCGATTACTCGCGTAAAAAATTCAGTTTTTGTAGAAACGTTGGCCTTACAACAAGACTAATTGTAAGGTTTTTTAAACTCGCCAAGAAATGTTTGGACCAAAAATCTCCGTCGTGGCAAAGCGCGAGCAAAAGATCTCATGTTTATGTCTGAAGAGAATTTACAAATCCATGCCCCCAGAAGCCCACTTCTGCATGCAGAGTACACCCGGCATAACCATCAAAACACCACTTAAAAATGTCTTCCGCATTAATATCGCACAACAAAAACAGAATGGATCCCAAACAGATTCGGTGTCCGGAATCTGAAAGGAAAAAGATAACAATGGAGAGAAAAGGAAATGGCCGGAGGGGAAATACCAGGCTCTCCCAATCGTACTTAAGCCCTAAATGTTCGAAATGGATGGTGGTGTCTAGCGGCGAGTGTAAACAATCTTGTGAATGAAGAATTTTCAAAGAACTCAAATCTTAAAATTAGCGTAACGAACAGGAAATTTTAGGCAAATCAGCAGCCAGAAATGGTAAATGTGAGAAGCTCTAAAGGTTTAAGACAGATTTCTCTCAAATTTAGCACAGCTCTTATGAGGCCACAAATCAATTTGCGAAAATTTTAGCTTTTGCTTTGCAAAGATACCAGGGAAATTTTACAATCTTTGCAGCCGAGAGACAACGCAAAAAGAGACTAATGGGATCAGCGAAAGACGAGTGTAGAATACAGGGTGACCCAAAATAACGGAGACAATTTTTGAAGGGTCCCACCGCGAAAACCGGGCGTTAGAGAAACATAAGCAACAGCGGGTAATATTCTATAACACCTTCTCTATAATCCACGAGAATTTGGTGGAATCATCATGTCGCAGTAAAAAGTTACAGCTTAAGAAAGATGCTTTGCGCCGTTTTTTTGGCCTTCAATTTCGGTTCCCTTGTGTTGTGTAAAGCCTGGCTGTACTACATCCGCAGAAATGGCAAGTTCATTTGTTTTGTTAGACTACTATGTCCCTAAGAAAGCAGTTGCGTAGGTTTTTGGGCTACGGTTTTTATTTCTACGGTGGTACCAATCGCAACATTCAAGATTGCCATTTTTTTCAAATTTTTTCCATAAAAATTTCAGTTTTTCTCGAATAAAGCTAAAACCGCTAGTACGTGTTCTATTCATAAATACAATGATTCTGAAAAAATCTGTTTTTGCTTGCTGGTTGCAACAGCTTTTCCTTAACAAGTTTCTCGCCCAGAACACCCCATGGCACGCGGCTTTGAGAAAGATGGGTTATCGATAACAAAATGACAAGATAGATAAAAACGGCGCATTCTGCTCTTGTACACTTATAAATACGACTCTTGAGAATCGGCCTAGGGCACTTTCGGTCTTTTTGTGTCACCGGCTCGACTGGTATTCCGCCTAAGGCAAAAATAAGGCACAATTCTAGTGATTACCAAATAGCATTCCGTAGTAGTTACAAAATGTTTCTCTTTTGGTCCTATGGTGTTCCTTTAATCATGTTCTAGTAACTCATATTACATTTTGCCTTATCTAACATTTAAACTCCATCTTACGCTTACATTTTCAAAAAAGGCCGATTTTTGCACTTCAACTGTCTGAAAATACTCGACTGTAACTTTTGAACCATCGACGGGTAAGCTTAGTATGATAGCTCGTTTTAAAGGTCTTGTTACGATAATTAATCACTGCAAATCTCAAGCTATTCCGAGTTTTCTTTTTTGAGTAAGGCAGCTTTCTTGTAAAAAGACCCCACGGGCGGAAGGGTCCGAGTCAACCGGATATATTCATGTCGTTCAAGACAGAAGAGCGTCGTACAACAAAACTACCGGTAAATAAAACTACCCTAACGTGGTACTGTAATATAAATAAGGAGTCACTCATGAATCTTAATAAGTCGCAGAAAAAACGGAAAATCTTTTGTCTCCGTTATTTTGGGTCACCCTGTATAGTTTTCTAAATGGCAAGCAGACTCACTAAAAAGCTTTCAAAATAATAACTTTTGCAGGCTAGTAACAGAGCAAAATTGGTAACATAACGTAGTAAACACTACTATTATGACTACCAAATCGCCTAATCTGCTCAAATTTACTTCCTTTTGTTCTCTTGTCAACAAGAATTTTGAATTTCTCCACAAAAAGAAAATCTTGGCATCTTGTAAATCCTAAATCCTAAACCCTCTAGACCTGAAATATAACTTTTGTGAGAGACCATCTACCAAAACAAACGAGTTTTTCAATTCCTAGCAATTTGTTCTCCATAGCCATTTCTTCTCCCTAAATTTTCCGTCGAAGCCCACTGAACCGCGACTAATTGCCCGAGGCGGCGAAAACCGAACTTATCGCCGCCAGTTCACAAAGGCCAAAAGTGCAAACCTGGTGACGAAACGCCTTCGAAATAACGTAGAAATAATTATTATTTCATTGGAACGAAGCCGAAAAAACCGGGCCGAACCCCGCCGCCGTCGCGGCCGCGGCCCCCCGGCCGAAGAGCGGCCGAAACGCGGAGACGGCAGGCGCGAAAGCGGCGCCGCCCGGCGTTCCGCCGGACGGGTGGAGAGAATGCCCCGAGGGGGTTTGCGACTCTCACCTTTCGACCCCGCCGTTTCCTTCGCTAAGCGCCCATCCCTGGCGGAAGGCGGATGTCCCCCGGATCTTTGCACAACATCCAGCACCCCTGAACGTCTCTCATCCAGCCGAGCGGCCAGGCATGCCTTCCACAATCTGTTCGATGCAATCTTGCCGTCTTCCCCCCATCCTCCACTATCATATCCCCTCAGGGTCAAAGTTGAGACACATTCACTCATTCTTCGTTCGCCCCGACGTCAGCCCACCAATTTTTTTGACAAATCACTGTGGGATTTTGTGCTCCAGATTTTGTATATCATCTACGAAAAGAGGAGCGCAGCATAATGCGGAAGTGAGACATCAAAGAGCATGGGGTATATCATACATCAACACACAAAGAAGGGGGAATATACGCATGGGAAAGTATTAAATACCCCGTTTGAGGGCTTTTGAAAGGAGTGAAAGGAACTCAAAGACACAAATTTTACGCTTTGACACAAGGAGTTTGCCGCGGCATACCGGAATCCACTTCCTGGATATTATCCACGAGATTAGGCAAAAAAGATTTTAAAATCTCAAATCTTAACCCGAAAAAATTATTTTTAGAACAACAAACCTGATAAATACGTCAGAAGTTATTGTTTTGCCTCAAAACTGCTCAAAATAGCGGAAAATAATTCTAATTTCATTAAATTTCCGCAAGATTGGCACCTTCTCGAAATTCTTGGCATTCCGTCTCAGCTCAATTTTCTTTGGGATTTTCGCGAATTTCACGTATTTTACTGCAATTTCAGTTGCTTTGAGACCAGTTGACGGACAAGATGGCCGCATCTTGTGGATGTAAAGGTGTCCGTTTTTGTGCTTCATGCAAAGACAGTGATCGAGTTAAAAATCTTCGAGAAAAACCCGAAGATCAGACGGAAAAGCTGTCAAATTATCTTCTCTATGTCTACAAAGATGGAAAATGTTATCATAGACCCGAATTGAGACTGCAATCGACAAAAGAGGAGATTGAGAAAGCTACGGGGGAAGTTTCCACTTCTTCAGAGGCCAGTTTTTCGATCGATGGAATAGATTTGCTCTTTGATTTTCTTGATGAAAAGGAGGAACTTGCTGTTGTTGAGGAGATCGACAAGAAAGAATGGGTGCTATCGCAGTCTGGTAGAAGGAAACAAGTATGTTTTTATTTGGTTTTGAGTATCCTTTCGAATTTTAGGATTACGGACCAAAGGTGAACTTCAAGCACAAGAAAGTGAGGCCGCAGTTCTATGAAGGGCTTCCTACTTATGCGGATTTGATACTAGAACGATTGAGAAGTATTAACGATGTAAAATATGGGAATTATCAGCCATTTGAGCTGTGTAATTTGGAGTATGATCAAGAGCGGCAAAGTGGAATAGAACTTCACAAAGATGACATGTGGATATGGGGAAATCGATTGATCAGGTGAGAGATTAATCTTTTAGGAACAAGAAGATGTCCAAAGCTGTCTTTAGAGATATGTTCCAAATCTTTTTGATACGTTTATCTAGATGTTTAGGGCGATGTTGTCCATGGCCTCATAATTGCTATATTTTTTTGGAAAATCTCAAATTTCCGGTAAAATTCAAATGTCAGATGGGCTATAAATCGTATGAACAAAGTTTTTTACATTTTTGTCTTTTTAGCTAGCCTCCGCTACTTTTGCCGTTAGATTTTTCCACGATATTACCTAAATTATCTTATCCTTCCAATTTCAGTCTCAACCTGCTTGATGGATCTGTGATGTGTTTTGCCAATGAAGAGAAGAATGCCCTAGTCTTTCTCCACATGCCCCGACGATCGTTATTATGCTTCAGAGATGAGAGTCGGTTCAATTGGACTCATGGAATTTTCCCCTGGCATATAACTAACCGCCGAATCGCTTTGACAATGCGAGAGCCAAGTCAAATCTTTCAAGAAGGTGGAGAACTGTTTGAAAAATACGGGAAAGAGCTGATTGAGCGAGGAAACAGAAGAATTCCAGCGTAATTAGTCTTTAGATATCTTAATTATAAAGAATTATATTTTTCATCATGGATAATATAATTTTTTTTTGATTTTTGCCGGTTTTTGCGGTTAAGTAGTCTCTCAGAAGCTCTGTAATGTCTAATTAGAGCATTTTGACCTTCAAACATTCTGATTGTTAAGTTTTGTTGTCAAAAATCCAAAAATAAATTCGTTTTTTTAGTCTCGGCCTAATTTTTAATTGTATAATCCAATATTGTACTTTAATTAAAATGAATTAGGGGCAAAGTCCCATTTCTTTTTTCGTTTTTTTAACTTTTGCGGGATTTAACATGTCAAGGTCGTGTTATAATGAAAGGAGTTTCAACGAGAGATCTCTCCGAGCGAATCTTTCTGGATTTCTCGCGGCTTTCAGTCGGTTTACACAGGGATTTGGGGTTGATGAACTTTGTATTGCGGGCAGAAGAGGCTGGAAAAATGTTGGAAGGGTACAATACGTAATGGCTGATTACATCAGTGTAATTTACGAAATGATTTTTGAATAAAAAATAATGTTCAAAAACGGTGATTTTACGTTCAATTTTTTCTTATTGGGTATTATCTGAGTCCCTGAGCGGCTAAAAAACGCTTATTTCAATTTGTAAAATACGCCGATACTTGGTGATATTTATAAAAAATGCAAAAAGGTTGTTGAAATGGATAGTTTTCAGTAGAGGACTCTCAGAAAACGCCATAACGGATGTTAAAGTTATCTTTTGACTTTTAAAATACGGATGTTTCCAAAAAGTTTTAACTTTTTGGGTAAATTTTTTTTTACTCCTAAAAATACCTGCATTTTTTTGTTTTTATCGCGTTGGAGCAAAGTGTGGACTCTGCAGTGACGGGCCTGATACAGTGACAAAAAACGTACTATTTTGCATCCGGGAAGTATCAAAAAATATAGCAAAATGCCTCCCTCTCCAAGTGATAAAACTCCTTTTTTAAGGGCCCTTTCCCTCACAAAATTTACGGGCGCGCTTTTGAATTTGGAGTTTTTTCACTTGAAGAGGGAAGCATTTTGCCACATTTTTGATACTTCCCGGATGCCAAATGGTACGGTTTTTGCCACTGGATCAGGTCCATCACTGTAGAGTCAACGCTTTGCTTCAACGCTGTAAAAAACTTATATTTTTGAGCAAAATATTTGGTCGGCTCTGTAAAATCTTCAAATATATCTTTTGTAGGTATTGATTTACCACCATCTCATCACGGCATCGTATATAATCAACCCGGTGCAACAGGGTGGGACAAACCCCACCCCATACCAAGTGGTACCCGTTCCTCAGACCATATCCGATGGTCCCAAGCCAATCCACTCGATTCGAGGCAAGACCTCGCCGTACGGGTTTTTTGTGAAGATGTGCTATGAAGAACACAAAAGGAAATTCCCTCATGAAAACGTTTTGGTCACTGAGATCTCGAAGAAATGCTCGGAGAAGTGGAAAGTAAGAAAAAAATGATAAATTGGACCTCTTACTGTATAAATTTTTATGGATTGAGCATCTTCTCTTAATTTTTTTTTGACCTTATTTTATGTGGGCTTTCAAAAAATTTACGCAAAAAGTAATCAAAAAATCTCAGACCATGAACGAAATCGAAAAGAAGCGGTTCTTCGACCTGGCCCAAAAAGACGCCGAACGATATCACGCAGAGATCACCGCCTCTGGCGGTTTTCAACAGCTACGAAAGAAGAAACGAGCAAAAAAGGATCCAAATGCACCAAAACGAGCGCTTTCCGCATTTTTCTTCTTTTCGAATGAACAACGGAACAAAATTCAGAGTCAGTATCCCAGCTGGAAGGTGGGACAGATTGCCCAGGAGCTGGGAAGAGCGTGGAAAGCGTTGAGCGAGGAGGAACGGATGGTTTATGAGAAGAAGGCGGTGGATGACAAGGAAAGGTACAATATGGTAAGAGTTGTCGTGAATTTTGGGCCGGATGTTGTAATTTTTTTGGTGTTTTGGATATCAGATGGTTTGATGTTTCTTTTGCTGTGTCTTTGAGGAATTTGGTGGTGGTTAAGTATCTGAATCAGAGATTTTTTGGTAGTTTGGGTTTTTGTCTAGTACAAGGTAAAAATTAGTGGATTTATCTGTTGTCTAGGCTCCTGTAGGGGTGTGAATCAAAGTGTTATGATTTTCTATATATTTCTGGCCTTTTTATCATCAAACTGTGACTTGACTTTTGGTTGACATTATTTTATCAAATTTTTTTATTAGTCATCAAGTATAATATAAAAGTATTCTCTGTATGGAAGATTCTTGTGGAAACTCAAAATATCTGTGGGCCTATGTAATTTTGGAACTAGAAGACGTTATTTTTTTACTGAATTTGCTTTTTAAGCCTATATGTTACACATCTTTGGTCCATTAACCTATATGCAATATCGAAAATTTATAAAAAATCATCCATTTGCAGGAAATGAAATCGTATCGAGAAGGCCCCATTCCCAAAATCTCACCACCTCAACCCGAGAAACCGCTGGAATATCAGCCGGTGAGCTCGACATATCAGCAACAAGTAGCGCAATATCAACAAAATCAACAGCCAATTCAAATCCAATACGTGGATCAAGACGGAAATATTGTCAAAGTTGTGACCCAACCGGCTCATATGGCTCAAAACGACAGCCAAAATTATATGGGTATGAACAATTCCTGCCATAACCAGCAAAACGGGTCATACCATGGATAATATAATACAATCTAGAAATTTGATCATTCTTGATGATTGTTATACAATTTTGATAATGCCCTCCAGTTGTTGTCTAATTCTGCTCGAAATTTTCCTCCAGAATCTCCGCAATTCTTGAATCTTTCACAAATTTTCACGGATATTACACTTGATGTCTTATGAATTGTTTCTTGATTTTTGGCTTCGATTAACCTAACGATGTGATAAACTATAAATTTTTATGATGTTTGGCGGAATTTTTTATTATTTTTTTGTGTTGTCCTGAAATTTAATTATTTTTTTTTTGGAAATTTGAAAATTTATGCAGATTTTTTCAACAACGCAAAAAAGCAAAAATTTCGAAAGATAATTTAAATTTCCATCCATTTTTCAGCTTTTTGGTGCTTCGGCCGGTAGTTTTCATATTTTTTCATCGACGAATTCAGTCACTTTTTTCTCATTCTTCTTCCTGGGATACCATTTTGCGACTTTTTATATGGTATGTTTTTCCCAAAACGATAAAATGCATTGTAATTGGACTTTCAAGTCGATTTTTAGTATATGTTAAAAACACCTCCAATTTTTGGTCAAAAAATTTTTTTTATTTATTTTCCTCTTCAGATCCCTCAACCTCATCGAAATTCTTGGCCAAGTCATATGCCGTGCTTCTACCCTCACGAGATACGAATCTTCAATTCCATTGTCTCTTCAACTTCTCTGCGACCAATTGCTCAGAATGTCATCACTGTTCCGGTTGGAATTTCGATCGCAGAGCTCAAGGAGAAGATTTATCAAACACGACAACTCGAGGAAATTGGTCGCTGTTTGATTTTCAATTGGGAATTCGCTGAGTATGTGGATGTAGATGACAGCATGCTACTCATGACGACCAACAAGGTCATGTTTCACGCCAAGGAACAACGTATGGTAAGTGATTTGAACTTATCAACTTTTTGGGAGAACATTTGTCATGGATAAGATAGTTAGATGATTTATGAGTGTAATCTTGAGAAAAAATATAAGCCCTTGTAGTTATGGGTTCTTTGAAACGCACTGTTAACGATGATAAATATAAATTATTTTTTCAGGGTACCGCCTCTTTGGAAATCGATAGGAAACTGGACCTTGTTTTAGATGAGCTGAACTCACTGAAAACCTCAATTCCGTCGAATGCTGCTCTGGATCGGTAAGTAATTTTTCTGGTTTTAAGCACAAACCTATAATCTTTCTTTCTGATTATCTTTCGTTCTCTGTCGCTGTCTAAATTTTTCAATACACCGGTTTTCCTCTAAGTCATCGTTTTTAGTGTCTCTGCCGAATTGAGTCGTCTGAATCTCAATCTAGAACATCGCGAACCTCCTGCCATTCCGCATTTCGGCCATTCGCCTCATCTCGTTGCTCCACAGTCTACTCCAGTCCGTCAGGACTCCCCAACCACCTGGCAAACCTCTCTTACCGCTTCCATCCCGAATAGCCCATGGTCTAATTCAAGTGGTCCTGTTGGACCTTTTTACTTTTAGTCTTGTCTCTTGTAATGTATTATGTATCTTATCTTTATGGTCTCTATCTGGCTCTTTTATTTATTGTTGTAGTCATTGTTTTCTTTGTAATTTTTGTTTTCTTATTCTTATACCTAGTGTAACATAATTTTATTGAATTTTTAATATTTTTCCCCCGCTAACCTCTTGAAAATTAATAAATGATATTCATTTTATCTTTGGTTACTTCAATTTGACTCGTTTCAGTAGTTCCGATTCGAATTCCCCGCTATTTTTGGCAAAAATAAATAATTTTTGGCATTCTGCAACAACTCTTTTTTCTTCGTTTTTGTCGAAAAACTCGATGTAAAATGTGATGAACCCTCTGTACATACTTATTTCGTCAATCTTTGTCGCATTTTCTACCGCTAAATCATGTAGTCAGCTGCTTGTCGGACAGTAAGCCCATCAAATTTAGGATTTATATTATTTTAGGTATCTATGCGACGAACCGGAGCTGGATTACACCACTTATCAATTAAAACACTGCCATTCTGATGGGTCTGTAACTGGTAAGCTTTCATCTTTTTTTCTGATTTTGATTTTTAGTAAATTGCACGATCCGAAGGGGTTTACATTGTGATGAACTAAATTACAAGACACACACCTTTACTAGGACAATATTGAATGCATGCCATGGGAATAACGCGCCTCACCATGGCACTACGATGTTGTTGTCAGTATTTGGCGGTTGGCTTGGATTGGATAGGTTTTATCTGGGGTATTACAGCATAGGTAAGTTGGTCATGGATAACATAAAGAAATGTGGCTGGAAGGCTGGAAATTGGTTTAATGCAGCTGCAAGGGTTGTAGAGTGCTCTACTAGAAGTGACAACAAATTTTTTGGGATATAAATTTATTATAGCGGATTTATGGCCCATGGATAACATAAATTATCGTTCGCTGGGGCTCAGAATGAATTGGAAATTTGTTGAAAGGGAGCTTAGCGAAATTCTAAAGTTACTAAAAAGCTTTTGCTTGACTGATTCAGTTCCCTTAAAAATTAAAAAAAATTTTTTGATGGATAATATAAAGAACACAAAAAATTGGTTGCAGGTGCGCTCAAACTGGTCTCACTTGGTTTCTACGGGGTCTTCCACTTACTTGACATTATTTTGGTTGCTTTGGAGTTGGTCCGGCCCGCCGATGGATCCGACTATCGGCCAATCGGCTTCTCTCCAATGACCTTAGGCGGTTCAAGTTCAAATTACAGCCAGTTGATACTCTACAACTGTGTTGGTTGCTTTAATTGAGTAAATGTTTAATTTCGGTCATGTTGCCGTTCAATTTTTTTATATTATACTAGACATTTTAGCTTAATTTGCCTCCGTTTGGAAGACTTTAGTTCGTTTCGTTCTATTTTGGGTTTATTGAGCAAATTTCATGCCTTCAGCGTTCTAGTGGCCTGCCCGTATTGATTCTATTCGACGAATTGGACGTTTTTTCCGCAATTTTGTCTAGTGCAATATCAAAAAAGGTCTAAAATAATATCCAAAACCGATGTTTACTCAAATTTTCAAGTGCAATATTCCGGATTCTCGGAATGAATTTATTTTACATTCTTTTGGAAGCCGAAAATTGCGTCTCCCGATTAAGGATTAAAAGTCGATTCGTCTAATTGGAACGCTTAAAATTCCGAGAGTCGAAGCCGAGAGGCCAACAAAAATTAGTTTAAAAATTAGTCTGAATGTCGGTTTATGTCATGTGATTACTTGAAATCATAAAAAAACTGGCTAAAAAAATAAAAAAAAAGAAAAAAAATTCAACGTGTGTCCTAGTATAATATTTAGACGAAAAAATAGAATCTATGCCCTAAATAAATTACATTTGGAATTTTTAATACTCCCACAATCTCGTTTACCGTATAAAATTTGTATATCTTTTGATAATCAAACACATTTCATCGTATAAAATGTCTCCATGACTGTAGATCCATAGGATTTGGTCTTGAAGTGAACCCGAGATGTCCTAGAATAGCGAAAAAACACAACAATGCCAAATTAGGCATTGTTTTGAAAGCAATTTTTCCGAACAGCTGGAAATTCACGTTGGCATTTAGATGAAGCCTCTGAAGTGGACCTGTGTTTGTAACTTTAGCCGAACCTTGAACGTTTACTTGCAGCGCTCATTTATTTTCATGAGAATAGCGAACCTTTAAGGATAGAGACTGGGATTTTTGGCCTTCGATGTTGTCCATTAAATCTGTCTGCTTTCCTATGCGTTTTGCTGTATAGAGTTTTTTGTAGCCTATGCATTTCACTATAAAAACTTGTTCTAAAGTGCACCAGGTTTATATTCGAAAACTTCGAGCTCTTTGACATTCGTCTCCCTACATTTTGGCCCTCGATTATCTGCTCTCCTTCTACGGTGGCATGCGGCGAACACTGATGAGCCGGCCTTAATTACGATTTAATAGCCTTCATATGTAATTTTGTTTGTTTAAATTCGTCGCACTTTCCGCGGCCCCCTCCCGGCTCCTCGCTTCAAATCCCCAGGCAATTTTGTGTGTTATTCACCGAAGATGGCTCGAGGCCCTTTTCAGCGCGCCCGCCGCAAGTTTGTTGGCTTTTCGAGGGGATTTGCCAATTTTGGAACAGTTCTTTGAAACTTCCGCAATTGTCGCTTTGACATATGTTCCGCGAGATGTGTTAATGGCGCTCTGAATAAAAGGGACCGTTTTTTTTTTGAATGGTGTAGTTTGCTCTGTTTATTGTTGCTTCTGTGACAGTAGCTTATCAATAATTTTTGAGGCTGTTGTTAATTTGAGAATTTTGAATGACAAAGTCAAGGTGCAAAAAATTAGAGATGACTTTTTTTGAATGATTTGAATCGTTTCTTCTTCAAAATTTCTGTTAAAGAAAGAATACACACATCTAATAATTTGCTCTTTAGTACCTGATATCGCTGAAAATTTAAGTTATCAACGCTGAAAAAAATCTTCAGGAACCGATTTGTGGCATCGATTGCTGAGTTTCAAAAAAATCAGGGCCGTAAATATTTGTAGAGTTTATGGTTTGCAAAGGGAACACATAATTTTCTCTGAAACAACAATTAACTTCAACTGATCAACTGCAAAGATCGCGTTTGGCGAACAAAGACAGACCTAAAACTTGCTTGGAATATAAAGCATACGAATTTTAGGAAATTCTTGGAATTTGTTATAGGAATTGTATACTGGACGAAGTTTGACGTATTTTACAAATAGACTGGTCGAAATTTGGCGTATTTTGCATGCAGACTGGTCGAAATTTGGCGTATTTTACAAGTATTTACGTTCATCATGTCTAGCTGCAAATAAACCTGCGGGGTTTGGTATAGCGATTTCACTTTTATTCAAGACGCTCAAGTTCTCCGCAAACGTATGGTTTATCAGAATTCCGAACCATTTTCCGGCGTGTTTATGAGAGTGTCGCCGTGTTTACGGGAGTACCGGAAGTAAATTCTACGTCTTAATAAGTGCGTTTGTTCTTCGCTTGCGTAGGTTGCTGTTATTCTCATTGACAATTCGCATCCATGTCATAGGGGGTTTCCGTTATTAATCCTCGTAATAATGGTATGCGTGATTATTTTGAATTGCTTTGTGCATATACCATTGGGTATTGAAATGCTCAGTGGCATCTTGTTTTTGTAGTCTTGAATTTTAGCTGGTATTACTTGTTCCATTAGCGAGATGTGTGGCAACAAGTTGATTCGCTGAAAATATAGCGGAATAATGTTGCGTATGTTCAGCTCTGCTCGTTTTGCGTTATGTTATCCGTTGAATGAGATGCTGGAGATTTTGGCGGGCCATAGCGTGAGCGAAATTTTTCGAAATTGATATGTGTGGTCTAGACTATGTACGAAAGGTGAAGAAAATGTGAGCTTTGGATCTCGACCATGTCGTTGTAAAATGGTCCTTTAGATATTTTCGTTGAAATTCAAAGTAGAGAGATGAATTCCATCATCGTATTGTGACATTACATAGTGGATAAAACTCTCCATTCTTTTCCGAAAAATCATTGACTTTTGGCCGCATCGAGATTTATGCCAAATACGTCCTAGTTTACCGGTTATCCGACACGAAAACAGGCCTTGTTTTCGCCCCTCCGCTTATTAGCTGTCTGGACGAAACAGGACCTACTATATTTACTCTAGTGCGCATCGACTTGACATGCAATTGGATTGGATTTGTTATTGGAGATCGCGTGATCTCGGTCAGAACTGCAATCCAAGATTCCATCGGTTTGTGTAATGCTCCTGTGAAGGATTGTATTACGGAAAAAATATAAATTGCGTGGGGAAATTCTTCTGGGTCTAATTTCATTCATTTCGCAAAATTTTAAACCTTGCAGTGGATGGACGGAGTCTTTGCTGATGAGGTTGGACAATTTTGCATTCTATGGTTTTCCTGTTTCCGAGCATTACGACCGTTACATTAGTGAGATGTAACGGTCATAATAAGTCCCGTTAATTTTTGCTCTTCTCGTTAACTTCCAGTTAGTTATGTCCCGTTCTGGCCTAATCACCTTCTCGGAACCGCATATGCATCCGACACTCATTAAATCCCACACACACACGGGGTTCTCCCAAAATGTTGCCGGAAGTGATTCCAAAGGTCATATGGGCCTTTGTCCTTGTTTTAAACATGTCCCCGCTTTCGTTTCCCGTATGCGGACCTGTTGTTGGGCCAAAGACAAAAAAAGTGTTTTTGGCCGCCTCGGAGGCGTCGGCCAATTAGAAGTCTCAACTTGTCCCTCAAGGTGTGTTCCTTTTTCTCGCCATTGACACAATATTTCGGCTTGCTGGGCGCATTAATTTCTGTGTTCCAAAAAAATTTTTTGTTTATGAATACTTTGAGGGGTTCGTTGGGATGTTGAATTCGTAAGGTGAGCATGTATGCTGCGGTGGCCAAGGCACCATGTGAAAGTTGGCTGAAAGTGATAGGGCGCAGCTCGGAAATCAAGCTTCAACGTAGCATCGGGGAGCTGCGCAAGCTTGTTTTCCGAGCTGCGCCCTAGCATTTTCAGAAAATTTTCAGATAGCGGATTGATCCTGGCGGGCGCTGATGAAATATTCCGAACGTAAGCTGTCGCATTCACAGAGTGACAGATACAGTGGGGGATCTGATCCAGTGGAAAAAAAACGTACCAGTCTGCATCCGGAAAGTATCAAAAATGTGGTAAAATGCTTCCCTCTTCAAATGAAAACACTTCGTTTTGAAGGGCGCGAGCTTTTGAAATCGGAGTTTTTTACTTGGAGATGGAAGCATTTTGCCACATTTTTGATATTTCCCGGATGCAAAGTGGTACGTTTTTTGTCACTGGATCAGGTCCCCCACTGTAGGTTCTATGACAGTCTACGGCGACAGGTATCACTTTAGAGCGTGGTAGAGGTCTGCTGTTACCTGGACGTCGATCTTATCCTGAAAGATAAGGAGTCGATGAAGTTGTTTGATATGGTCAGGATCAGAGTACTAGTCGCGACATAAAGTCCGTAGAATTTATCGCGGCCCCCAAATTCCGAAATGTTGATTTGTCGCTGCGAAAAACGGGAATCGCGCGCGACAATAAGGCAAAATCAACAAAATTGCACAGTGCAAAATGTGTTTTCGGGTGAATGCACAGTGCAAAATGCTTTTTCGGGTTTATGCACAGTGCAGAAAATTCTACGGACTTTATGTCGAGACTAGTAGTAATCGGTTTCATTTATTACGAATTGAAACCGAGATCTGCACTGTTGGAATGTCAACGATCCCTCTGTGAAAGCAGAAAGACAAAACGGTTGATTGCCAGCGTTTTCAGAAGACCCTAAACTGAATCTCCAGTCTGCAAATCTTTTTATCTCCGATGTTTTCTGAAACATCTGAAGCACGTGTCTAACACATTTTCCAGAAAATTTTTAATCTGCTTTTCTTCTTGTTCAATTCTCGCTATAAACACTCCTTTTCTTTTGCTTCTTCGTTCTGTTTATTATTATTCGACCCTAGTAAACGGAAACCCATCCGATTAATCCGTCTACGGCCCACCAACTTCCTTTTTACGAAGGGCATCGTCCTCATTGCAGGTGTGGCTTACACACGGATCGTTTGCCATACATTCTAATTTCCAAGAGAAATGTCCATTATTAATGATATTTTTTCGGGTTCTAAAAATATTCGTTTAATTTTATTCTTATGAATTTAATTCCCGCTTGATGTCGTTTGTAATTTATGTAAATGCGGGGGGGAAATCCGAGGAAATGATGGCATCTTTGGGATGGTAATGGAAGGACTAAC